AAAGACGCTGGAATGCTCCAGAGAGCTGAGGGTTTGTCACTGCGAGCGACCCCCAACATCACACAGTCATTTTATCCATCGTTGATATAAAATAACATCATTCTCTGATTCAAATCCATCATTTGAATAATCCAATATCGATTCATAAAATACTGAGATTGATCTTTTAATATAGGCCTTTTACAGTCTCGCGTGACCACCCTCCTCGTGCATCGAGATCTGGTCACGTGAGAGACAAAAACATGGCAGCAATATTTCCCTGAGAATCTCATTCACATCAAAGCAAAACCGATATCGAATTGAAGCGGGAATTACGTTGAATCGGGACCTTGTGAGTTGGAATTGAATCGATTCAGGAAATCAGCGTCCATGTCGAGCTCTAATGTAAAGATATTGATTAGTGCAGCTTTAAGTTCCACAGCAAAGTCCTGGATTGATTTTTAAGTTGTGACAGTTACTTCCTGAGTTAATGCTCTTAACTCCTGACTTGAGGAATCTCATTTTCCCTCTTCTTCCGAATTGTTCATGCTGTTTTCTGCCTTAGTCACCAAAGAGAGGATTGTCCTTATGAAGGGACTGAGTTGAGCGCTACAGTGAAGTCTGTATGGTTGAAAACGTTGCATCACGGTTCTTTTCTGCCTTAATGACCTGTAAAACAAAAACAGTCTGGGTTATTACAAGACTGAAGAAAAAGGTCAAGTTCTGGTCATTTGACATCAGAGATACTCGGTGCATTCAGTGAGGCTCAAGAATTACTTTTATCTGAACAAACAATTTATTTAATGTTCTTGAAGAATTATTAATGCACTTTGTGGCAGGATTTTCTTGTCTGACCTTAAAGTGCTGTTGCATGAAAATAATCCCTTTCTCACGGTTCCTGAATAATTTATGAAATTTAGTCTTTATTTCCTCTGTCGTATGAAAGGAGCAGCGAGGTCAGTGATGAAGTACCAAAGAGCAGAGGGGGAAAAAATGACTTTGCATTAATAATTAAAAAGATTGAGTTGTTTAAGTTTCTTTTCTGACAAGTATAAGATTGACAAAGCAAAGCAGACGGTTTGATCTGCAAGCAGCAATTACTTATTCAGTAGATGTAATTTTCTTAGATGAGGAGAACGAGATTTCCGATAATTGAACCAGTACAAATAACAAAACTGAAAGCTGAATTTCTATGCACAGCCTCCACAGCCTTTGTTCTTTGAACCCATCGTACAGTGGCAAGAAAAAGTACGTGAACCCCGGGGATTGACCTGGTTTTCTGCATTAATCTGATCCTCATCAAAGTCACAAGTGTAGACAAACACAATGTGTTAAACTAATGTTATAATCTTTCATGTCTTTGTTTAATAATTATGTTCCATATTCACATGCTGGTATGTAGAGTGAACCCTTGGATTTAATAACTGGTTGAACTAGGTAGGCATGGTAATATCAGCAGATGCTGCTTGTGAATAATAAACTCTGAATGTTTTGTGTTTTTAAAGTTGGAGCAGCTCTAACACACACTCTATTTGGTTTCATTGATTGGACTCCAGGTTTGTTAACTCCTGACTTCAATTAGCTTCTGTTCATTAGCCCAGGGGTTCACAGACTTTTTCCAACCTACACTGGGATTTGGATATATTCAACATGGACAAGAACAATACAATGATAAGTGTATCAGATACAGTAGATTGTTTTTGCTCATAAGTTACTTAGATGAAGATTTGACCCAGATAAAATTTATACATAAATGGCAATTATTCCAAAGTGCTGACATACTTTTTCTTGCCACTCTAACTTTCTTGATGTGACCACTGTGTTTACTGTTCCTGAACAGGTTTATTTTTTCAGGGAAAGTCAAAGTCTAGAGTGCTGTCAAATTAAATCTCAAGACTTGCAAAACCAGGCATTGGGGTCCAAGTGGGTAACTCCAAATCTATTTATTGGGTAAAATTACACAGTATTTCAACATCTTCCTTTCAAAGCTACAGTATGTCAGCCTATTTATCCCATAGCTGAGATCAGGACCCTTCAATCCCGAGGCCTAACATGTGGCCATACAAGGTCTGCCTGTTGCTCAGCTCTCAGATGGTCGTCCTGAATCAGACCTGTGGTGTATTCACTGTTGGTGGCTACAGTGGGAATTTAAAACTCTGCCAGAAGAACTAAACTGCTGTTTTTTTCATTGGAAAACAGACACTGCAATTACACACAAGCTGTCTGTGGCTTTGCATAGTTCATTAAACTACTGCCACCAGTTTCTCAATGGCATTAACATTAATTTATTTATATCGATATTTGACCGCAGAGACAGCCAATTATGCTTTATTTTTCTGTTCTCTGCAGCTAAATTTAATGAGTAAATGAGTTTCCAAGAAACACTTGGCTGCACCGTATGGTTTCGTTCCAGGTCAGTGAAGTTAATGTCCATAGTGCGGTTGACTGTGACAAGTCAATGCGAATCATGTCTCTCTGAGAGCTGGCAGACTATACATCACCATCTTGAAAATATGTGGAAAAGGAACAATCCCTGTTAATAGTCCCTTTGTGTGGAAGTGTTTAATTTGGACCTTTTACAGGCTGGACTGTAACACTGTTAGAATAATGTGCAAAATCCACTGTTTATCTTCCAAAGCTCTCACACGGCCAAGCTGGCGCTCCCAGATGCTTTCCTGCTAAGATGTTTCGACTGCAGATACAGACCGACTCTCTGTGCCTCAGCTGTGGAGTCTGCATGGACGGATCACAGGACCAGTGCTGGCCGGCAAACACTGTGAGCAAATGAGATTCCATCATGGAGCGGTATCAAAAAATTCAATCATTCAGTTGCTTCTCTTACATAGTCTCAACAATTTTAACAAAGGTCATATTTGTGTTTGATTCCACAGGTGTTTGTTGTGTCCTCCTCCTGTGTTCAGCAACGGAACAAGAACAAGGCCCAGTGAAAGGTAAGGATTGTTGTGATGCGCCTCCTGCACTTGAAGCTCATTCAGTAAAACTGAATAATCTGATGTGGATTTGCTTTCACTTCTAAGTTAATGCAACTTGGAAAACTTGTTTAACATGAAATGATGATAATTAGTTCTATTTTATAAAGTGTCATCTTGGCTAGATAAAACTAGCTACAGTGCAATCAGCTAATGTTAATATAACTAACTCTAGCATCTAAAGTCTTTGGCGAGCAGCAGTGAAATGTCAAATGACACAAAAATAACCAAATCTCTTCCATACCACCAAAATTATAAAGTAAATGTATTGTTTTTTATTTATAAATATTGCTGGTCAACACATGTAGATGTCTAATATTGCCATCAGAGGGTGTCTAACATCAGACAGACAAATAAGTAAATGGAATAACAATTTTAAATCTTAAATTTATTTTGATACTTTTCAATTATGGGTTGATAATTCAAAAGCAAAATAAGAAAGTTATTTATTGGCAAATTTAAATATTTGTATTACTGTTTTTACTTTGAACTTTAAATGTGCATTTAAATAATGCAATACAATCAATTTGTAATAGCTTTTTAAAATACATCAGTTACAATTAAAAAATTATACTCCATAGCCGAAAAGTTCAAAACATCACATATTGTGATAACGTGATCAGTGCTAACTGCCTCATCATAGCGTTGAATGAAAACAAACTGTACATGGTGGAAAAAGTCCCATATATAATCCAGCGCTAGAAAACCTCAACACACACATCAAAGCAGTAGTTAATGTTATAAATAATTTACAAGAAACATAGTATTACAAGAAAAAAATATTGCCTTAAATCTTTACTGTACATACATTATACGATCCATATCACCTGCATAGAAAGAAAATGTATTGACATATCAAAATAAAGTGAAGAGTATGAGACAAAAACAATATATTGACTAAGATGAGCAGCTCTACATAACACAAACCAAATTGTTTTTATAATTGCACTTTCAGTAAAAATGCCTAGGTGCACACACAATAAGGAAAACTAATAAAAGGATGAGATTTTAACCTCTTCAGTGAGTTTTCAAATACATAATTTTGAAATCCAGATAGTCAGTTTTAGGAGACATCTGTTGTTTGAGTAAAAGATCCAGATAAGTTCAGCATCATCTCTGTTTTTTATTATTTATGAAGAGATTTTCCACAGTAAATCCCAGTTTATATGACACAAAAAACACAATAGCAGCATTGAGATTCTGTTCATGAAAAAAATCCATTAGTTATACCAAGGCAAACAAAACTCGCCATGTGCAATATGGAAGTTTTATGCAGAGCCATTAATTTGCCTGCTCTAACATATGGTATATAAACATAAATCTTTTAACGGTGAACTAGCCTGAAATGTGCAGCGTTCTGAGTAAGACTGGATGAAAAGTTTTCCCTAAATTTGATTATACTGAAAAGACTTTTGCGTAACTGTATAAATGATTACTGACCACTGAGGAATAAGTGAGTGTGAATAAACATCATCTTCCAGCTTCCTCCCCTCTCTCACTCTGCCTTGTTCTCCCAAACAAGGACAAAAACATCATTGTGCATATTATTAGGGATGGCCTGAGTGAGCTGTGAAATGCCTCTGCTCTGGGGGGTTTATTGGCGCTGGTGACTCAGCTGAAGACTGGCACATCTTCCTCCAAGTTTGCCTGAGGCTCCGGTGCTGACATAATGCCATTTAATGAGATGCCCGAGTCCACAAAGGAGACCAAGATCGAAATGTTGCTCCTGATCCTGTGCCAAACATTTCCAAGGAGTCTCCGTCTTTCTGTTGCTCTGTGAATACAGTAACAGGTCTGAATCTAAAAAACACAGGATTTGGGTATATGCAGACTGGCTGAAGCAAAAAAAAAAATCTGCATTTAAAAGATGGAACCGAACAGAGAAGGAGTCTCAGAGGATGTTGGGACAGTCGGGACTGAAAAAAAAAAAAAAAACCCCTCAGAGCAATAATTCTTGCATACAGTTTGATGTGGCGGGCCGGTTTTGGGCAGAAACATCCGGCTGAGATCAACAGTTCAGTGATGATAAAGTCAATGTGGTGTCCCCTTTCGTCTCAGCTCCAGAGTGTGCAGGCCCTCCTGCCGACCCAGGGCGTGCTGCGTGCCGACTTTGTGGGCGGTCTCTGTGGCTGTGATGTCAATCTGGGCATACTTTGTGGAGCTCTTCCCTGTCGAGACACAAACACAGATGCTCTTACCTTTTAAATAAGTCATACAAAAGTCCAGTGTTTTAATATAATTTCTCTTATTTGCTTTTTTGCAGAGTCAGAAGAGAAGCTGGGAACCACTCTTATATTGGTAAGATAAATAATTAAATATGAAGCTACCACTAGCAGCCCATTAGCTTTAGCTTAGCATAAAGGCTGGAGATAGAGGGAAATTGCTAGCCTGGCTCTGTCAGAAAGTAACAAAATCTGCCAACCAGCACTAATATATGCTCATGTTTGCCCAATTAATACAAAAATGAAAGTGTCAAAAATATCATGTTGTGGTTTTACAATTTCTTAGTTGCTAGCTGTGACTTACTGGACACTACACTCCAATGTCTCTACAGATTCGAAACAAGATAGAACATGATTATTAGTTATTTCACTGGCTTCAGCTTCTCAAATGTGAAATTGTTCTGGTTTTCTGAGACTTCCTTTGGATAACAAAGACTTGAGGTATGCAACCAGGCATCACTACACAAAGCAGAAGAACATGCAAATGATGCAGCTGAAGCCTTTAAAATTCCCCTCATGCATGGTCTTCCATATGCACATCACTAGCATTACCATAATTTGTTGCCCATCCCTGTGTGAAAATCAAATAAGCAAAACGTCAGGGTTTAATCACAGCAGCACATGAGTGAATGTCACTAAAGTGTACCTCATGGTATTGTTGCCTCCTGCTTGAATTATGTGTTTTACGGTCCCATAAAGTCAAAGAAATCAAACCCCGCTCCTCACAACACATCAATAGTCCCTGGAGGAGGATCCCATTAGAGCCAGTGAATTCACAGCTGTCATCTGAATGCCCTGTGACCCCCCTTCAGTGGCGAGATAGGACACCCCCCGCTCCCAGGTGACAGATTAATGAGCCCGCTTGCCAGGATATAAACTCTATAGCTGACATCAGATATTAACCTCTCTTGTGTCAGAGCTCGAGCGGTCCTCGTATTCCCAAGGGCAATGACGCTAATAGTCGACTTGTCTGTCAATTACAGCTCACTGCCGCGTCTCCAATGACAAGGACTCAGCTGTCTTTTAGTGAGACGAGACGAAATCGGCCCAATCGTTTGGGAGCGATTCCTGTAACTGACAAAGTAAAATAGAATTACAGAGCAATCATGTTTCTAGAGCGACTTCTCCTCCTCACTTGATATCCTAGCTTGTCTGAAATTGGCTCTTTTACATCTGACCGCAGATCAGAAATAAGAAAGCCGTGTACACAGGGGCACAGCTGAGGTCATTTTACTTTCATTATCAGTTCAGGTTGTGGATATTCTTTTAAATCCAAAACTTTGCATTATTAATCTACCATTAGAAACAAATGAGAATTTTCTAATGCTGATAACAATTGCATCAATATGAGGTTCTGTTGTCTGTCTGTGTGTTAGCCACCAATATGGTGGAATTATCTGAGGATAAATACAATAATAGATTATCATTGATGTCTCCTGAATATTAACCAACCTTGTGTGGCTGGGTATCAGCTGTTTTCTTTTATTTTTCTACTAGTACCAAAGCAATACTATTCTGTATATCCTACATATATATTTTTCTTTTCGTGTAACATTAGAAGTCAGAGTTTTTAAATGTTAACTGTTGCTGCCATACAAGAACTTATTATAAACACAATTTTCTAACAGATTTGTTCTTCACTGGCATGTATGAGTGATTTAAGAGAATCTGTTTTCTCTTAGGTGGGAACAAAATTCACGAGTGGTCTGGACCTGTCGAACAAGTCATGAGCAGATCGACCGTCTTTCTTCACAGGTAGAAAACACACTCTTTTGGCCAGTTTAAATAGAATACTGAAAGTGATTTAATTCCATACCAATTTACTGACAGATTTTAGTATTTTAATTGGCTTATTTTGTCACAGCAACTTTTACCTTTCAGTAGTTGTTGGAAAAAAACTCTTCTCACTCCACCAGCTGCCTCAGGGTCTTTATGTAACTCGCTGTCCAGTATCACCCTGTTGAAACACCTGTCAGTGTAACATCACCTACTGGCAGATGTAGACCGCTTTTTAGCATCTAACTTCATGTAGCTGAAACAATTCTCCATCACACCGCACTATTAACATTTTCTAGTTATTTTGGGTCCTCTAATACGACTGACTGCTAAATTTGTTGTTTGTATTTTACATGTTCTCTCCGCAGTGCTGTCGTGTTCATGATATGATGATGATCCTCTTATTTTATAATTCCTGTTTTTATTTGATTGCAATGTCATTTAATCTTTCTGTAAAACACATCAGTAAACATTTGTTGTTTTAAAATGTGCTCTCTAACTTGATTTACATAGGATCAGGCAGCTAATGATATTGAACAGGTGGCATCTGTCGGTTTGAAACGAGCAATTTACGACAAGTGTGTGCAGTTAAGAGAGTTTGGAACAAACTTCAGAAGAAAAAAGAATTTTAGGACTAGAATACAAAACGCCTCAATAACAATGCTAATGTTACCCTAACCTTGCTCTCTGTGTTAATTTAACATGTTTGCATGCTAACGTGCTAAACACAAACTACAGCTAATGAGAATGACATTAGGTTTTCAGGTATTCAATCATACAGGTGCATTTCAATAAATTAGAATATCATGGAAAAGTTAATTTATTCCAAAAACTGAAACTCATATTATATAGATTCATTACACAGAGAGTGAAATATTTCAAGCATTTAATTTTGATGATTATGGCTCATGAAAACCCCAAATTCAGTATCTCAGAATATTGTAGACTCACAGTCTAATCAGCTAATTAACTCAAAAGATCTGCAAAGGTTTCCTGAGCCTTTAAATGGTCTCTCAGTCTGGTTCAGTAGGTTACACATTCATGGGGAAGACTGCTGACTCGACAGTTGTCCAGGAGACAGTCATTGACACCCTCCACAAGGAGGGTAAGCCACAAAAGCTGGCTGTTCACAGAGTGCTGTATCCACGCATATTCATAGAAAGTTGAGTGGAAGGAAAAAGGTGCACAAGCATAACCGCAGCCTTGAGAGGATTGTGAAGCAAAGGCCATTCAAGAATTTGGGGGAGATTCACATGGAGTGGACTGAGGCTGGAGTCAGTGCATCAAGAGCCAGCACGCACAGACGTATCCAGGACATGGGCTCCAACTGTCGCGTTCCTCGTGTCAAGCCACTCCTGAACCAGAGACACTGTCAGAAGCTTCTTACCTGGGCTAAGGAGAAAAAGGACTGAACTGTTGCTCAGTGGTCCAAAGTCCCAGAGTCTGGAGGAAGAATGGAGAGGCACAGAATCCAAGTTGCTTCAAGTCCAGTGTGAAGTTTCCACAGTCAGTGATGATTTGGGGAGCCATGTCATCTGCTGGTGTTGGTCCACTGTGTTTTATCAAGTCCAACGCAGCCGTCTACCAGGAAATTTTAGAGCACTTCATGCTTCCTTCTGCTGACAAGCTTTATGGAGATGCTGATTTAATTTTCCAGCAGGACTTGGCACCTGCCCACACTGCCAAAAGTACCAATACCTGGTTTAATGACCATGGTATCACTGTGCTTGATCGGCCAGCAAACTCGCCTGACCTGAACCCCATAGAGAATCTATGGGGTATTGTTAAGAGGAAGATGAGACACCAGACCCAACAATGCAGACGAGCTGAAGGCCACTATCAAATACACCTGGGCTTCCATAACACCTCAGCAGTGCCACACCGCAATTCATGCAAAAGGAGCCTGACATTTCTGTATTAAAAATCCTTTTTTTTTTTTTTTATTGGTCTCATGTAATATTCAAATTTTCTGAGATACTGAATTTTGTGTTTTCATTAGCTGTAAGCCATAATCATCAAAATTAAAAGTAATAAAGGCTTGAAATATTTCACTCTGTGTCATGAATCTATATGAGTTTCACTTTTTGAGATGTACCTGTATATAGATACTTTAGTGGAAGAAATAGTTTTATATGTTTAACTCCAAGTAACTAAACATGATGCAGTCACCACAGACTATGGCCTCACCAAATTATCAACTAATTTACCTATTAGTACTCTTGAGTTTGAGTCTTTGAAATGATTTTATGAAGTATCCTGTTATACAAAAGTAACAGTGTATTTTTCTCCACAGGTGCAGTTTACCACCCTGACTGTTCAACATGGCTGCTGTGTCATCTAGAGCAAATTGTTGATGCTTTAGACACAAACTGTCTAGAGATCAGAGGTCATTTCAGATGGATCCTTACTCTGAGCTGGTAGATGTGTGACAGTCCCTCGGGGGCCAGGCCCTGGCTCCTGCAGCTCCAGCTCCATGTAGTTGAGCTGCTTCTTGGATGTGGGACTAACAGGAATATTCACATATGTCACCCCTTCGCTGCAAGGCCTGTCAGGAGGTGGTGCCTCAGGGGGGAAAACAAACACTGCCCCTGTCAATACAAGAGCAAAACTGTGTTAATTTAGCTCAGGTGGACATTTGTAAGGTCTTATTTTTATCAACAAAACCAACAAGTAATTTATCCCACTGACAGGATTTGTCTGTGTAGCCTCAGCCTGATAACGTACACTGTATCTCCAGCCAAATAACTCCACTGTCATCCAAAAAACTACTGAAGGAGATGTGTGGTTGCATTTGGATTGTTTTTTCAGTATTTCATTGCAATAAAAATGTACCACATTAATGCAATATTGTGGCTTTCTGGGATTTGCTAATATTGAAAAAATAAAGAGTAAAGGTTGGCATTTCTTTAACACTTATTTCAAACAGGATTTGTTTTTGTCATTATGACCTTAATTAAAAGATAATAATGATGAAGAATTAAAGGATAAGACTGGTTTTATTTTTAACACTTTGTCATTATAACCTTAATCAAAAGCTAGACGATTTCCCCTCAAGGCTGAGCAACTCTTGAGGCTCGTGTTAATTAGAGTCATTCAAATACAGACATCTGCAATGAAGTGACAATATTCAACAGTAAAGCACAGCAGCAGATAAGGCATCAGCAGTAACACTGGAACACAGTGTATCCCACTGAATCGCCCTTTTCCCCCAGGGGCTAATAATGCATAATTAGCTCATAGGCCCCTGAGATAAATTATTAGATACATTATAGTCATTTTGTGCTATGGGGAAGTAAAACCCTAACTTATTGCCCTTTTAATTAAACCATCAAGCTATTTTGTCAAGTCCATCACGCTGCTGCAAACTGTGTGCAGAGCTCCATATCAGATATCCACTTCCTTGAAATCATTGTGGAGAGTTTTGACTGAAATGTTATGTTTAATATCTTCAGCAAACATTCTGCTTATTAACATTTCTTACTGTAATATTTAAAACTATTCAAAATCGTATGTATTGACGAATCATTGGCAGATGTTTCTGTTTAAAAAGAATATACATGAGTGCAAAATGTACTGAAAAGCAGGCAACCTGACTACAGTTCTTAACTAATGCTAAACAGACGCAGTATTATATTCTGGGTAAGAATACCTCAAGAATCTATGCAATTGATCAAACAGTGTAGTCAGCAGAAAAAAGTGCCAAGTAAAACTAACAAGAAATGTGACATGAACCCATAGCTTTTCCTGTCAAACACACAAATTACAGCCACAGTGTTGCCTAAAGTGCGTTATCGATGTAATTTATTATGCTTGATAAATGGTTTCCACTGACAACAGGAAGCCCCTGTCGGCTTTACCTGTCATAAACCTAAAAGCCACCCAGGATAAAGAGGCACAGAGTGGAGTTCATTGCTGGCTGCATGAATGCTGTTTAGCTCGATATTTTGTTGATACAGTATCTGAGCAACCGCATAAAATATGTGCACGTGTGTTTTAGCTCTAACGTATCATCCAATGCCTGTATCTACAACACCAGCAAATACAGCTACAACCTTCAGTAACAGGACATTACAGTCCAGGAAATTCTTATAACCTGAGTATTCTGTTCTCCCCTGTGACTAATGAAAAGCAGGACATAGTCCATAAAATACATTATTACAGTTTCTACCTTCACTGCAAAGATGGTCATGTATCTGTATAGTTACAGCTGTGTTGGTATTATCCAACAAGAAAAATTTCACCTGCTATCATCTCTTCCTAAATGGCAGCAGCAGTGGCCATTACCCACAGCTCAGAAGCATGAACCCCAGGGGACATACATACAATCAGTGAGAAGCCATTAGACGCCAGCAGAGTCTCTGTGGTTGCGGCCTTTGGCAACATCTAAGAGGCCTGATACCTAATTGATCAGACACCAAAGCAGCCCTGGCTGAAGTATGGTGTTTTATAACGGCTGCCATTACAACAGTGGGTTTGCCCACAGCTCTAAGGCTGGGGGGGACTTCTCAATAATACACTTTGCAAAGCCTCCAGGGGACGTGTTAGAGGCAAAAACCTGGCTGAGCTTAGTGACCCGAACTCAACAACGTCAACTGCTTTTTGAGGGAAACATGGGTCTAATGACAGCTGTGTCTTCAGGGTAAGAGACATGTTCTAGCTGGTTTTCCATCTTTCACACGTTATTGTAGCAGGTAGACATTAAGCTGTGATATGAAGGTGAAAACATGTCTGACTGAACGTATTGCTTCTACAACACATTTATGCAACGTCATATAAATATACTTTCGCAGCAGTCACAACTGCCTACAAGGACTTCACCAGAACTAAACTATTTATTCCAAGATCCCATCGTCCATGCAAGAGTCGAGCAGGAGTCACTACTGTAAAGACAAAAGTAATAATCCCTCACTGGCTTCCTTCTGCAAATTTGTCAATCAAGCAAGAGGAAACACGGCCAGGGACTGAACCCGGGTCTCTTGTGTTATCCACATTGCAACCACAAATTCCCAAGATAAAATGATTTTTACACCCCAGTAACAATGATGTATAGATCAGTAATTCTGAGTACACCAAAACAAGACTGACACATTCCCCTGAGACTTAAGGTCACGACTTGCTTGAAATAACCTGGTTTGCACAAAATGTCATCCCTTACACTTTTAAAAGCAGAAGTATTTATAACTTTGCCAAATGGTCAACCACTAAGGAAGAGCGAAAAGCAAATGGGGGTAATTAAACATACAATCTTCAAAGCAAAAAGTGACAGAAGTAGTTGTGTGACGAATAAAAAGAGAAAGCACCAGGTCAAACACTGCATCAGGTGCAGTCCATCCCCAGTTGTGACATCTGCAACACTTTTCAACAATCTGAGAAGCACTTCATTTGAAGCTAATGCCTTAAAAGCTTCTACAAAAGCTGTGTGAGAGCAACATGGTGCTTGTAGATCAGTGACCTCCACTGACCTCACTGAATTTATTCATGATCAAATTCTCACCCGCGTCTGCAAATCAACCAATTAGAGTAAGGCATGAAATTATTAAAATAATAGACAGGCCAATACCATTTTGGGAGTACCACAGCCAAAACAAATGGGTTGTGCAAGTTCATTCATAACTTGTCTCTGCTTGCATTTTTATTCTTGTCCTGGACAGAATATAGCACTACGATTCACCGGGTATTCATTCCACAGTCTGCCACACCTCAAAATGTACACTGGACTGTCTAACATAATCAACATCATCTTGCACAGAGTCACATGCAATGCACCTGAAAAATTCCCATCACTGAACAGTGTATTGGGGCTTGAAGACTAGTACTACCCAAAGCTAAAAGTGCCACTCCAGAACAGGTGTTCTCAAAGTGATGTCCGGGACCCCCACAGGTCCTTGAGGGACTTCCTGGAGGTTCCCAGCAAAAAGGGGAATTTTTATTTTCACTATAAATTCCATCCATAAAAAACAAAATGAGAGAATGCATGACTATTTTGGTCATGGGTTTCAAACACTTCTAAAAGCAAAAATCTTATTAGATGGGGGGTCCTTGATGTGAGTTGAAGAACCATTGCCTTAAAAGAGCCTGAAAACCTGTGTGAATATGGCACCAAAATAAGTTATTATAACGTAATCAATCTTAGCTGCTGACCACACTGGTTTATGAAATCAGGAGCCAAAGTTGTTTTGAATATGAGGTTTAAAATACTAACAAAATTATGTTCCAGGTGCCATCAAGCCTGAGCCAGTGGACTTGGCCATCCTGCACGTCCACGTCCATTAACTGCCTACTGAGGCAGGATGATGGGAAAGATGACATGGGAGATGAGCTGTGTGTGTAGCTACATGAACATGACTGATGGGTTTGGTGCCACATTGTGACAGCTGCTGGGACTTTGTAGAGCAGGTGTGCATTAGACTGAGGGCATGTTTCTGGGTGTGGGATGCTTAAGTGGCCAAATGTCCCCTGACAACTGTCCTCTCACCTCACATCAGGGCAGGTATCCCATCACGCATCACTGCGCTCTCTGTTTGGTTATGTGTCTGTGTTTCCTCTTGACACAATTGGCTCTTATGTAACTTGAGTTTATGGGGTTACATAAAATGCAAATGAAGAAATGAACGCTACGCAATGAAAAGGAGAGGTCGCTGAACCGAGTCCTTTATTCTAAATGACATTGACTGCAACACAAATTACATGTGACTCATACCTGTATGTGTTTGGGATTCATCTGACAATCACAGAACAATCATTTCTTCTGTCACCTCAACTTAACCCCAGCTTGTGTTTTTGATTCATATCTAGAAATATTCTTTGAGGAAAAAAACCTCAAAACACAATCTGGTATTTTGAAAAAATGCCAAGCATCTATTTCACAGAAAAAACAGATGTTTGTTGTACATTTGAAATGTAACAATACATTAAACTGCAGCTCAGCTCTGTTCACGTTACAGTAAAACTACTAATTTTCAACTGTCCTGGACATGAGGAAAAAATCTATGCAGCACTGCACGTACTATGTAGAGGCAGCCACTTCCTGCAAACATCTTGCTGTCAATGTCACAGCCCTTTACCGTGGAAAATCTCAAGTAAACATAATGTGTGTGGTGTACGTGTCAGTTAATGGCGGCTATGCCTCGCGCTGGTCTGCCATTTCTGACTCTGAATGAGCCTCATTTTATTTATTTATTCATTTCAATTCATACACGGCAACTAACAGGTGATGTGTTTGTAGCGATGTTGATTCAGGTGTATGAGTCATCAATTTAATTCACTTTCTGTAAGTGGGTCCTGGTTATTGTGGGAAGCCTGAGTAATGCACAGCTGAAAACGTTCAGAGCACTAACAAAAAAAAAGAAATGGTCTATTGTGAAAAATATAATCCATTTGTCGGATAGAGACGGCAATCTGCATAATTTGTTTTTAAGACTAAAGCAAAAAGGAACCTAATTCTGTTGGTTAATGTCATGATGTCAGTCTCACTCACCTTCAGTCTCTTGAAGGAACCTCTGCTGACCACAGCTGCCCATTAATTCATACTTGCTTTTTTCTTCTGCCTGCAAGACACACACACAGTGAACACTGTGATTATAATGTAGTGAGTGACTGTACCCACCACATAAGTTTATGACATAAGAAGTGTGACGAGGACTCAACAACTCAGTGGACATGTCAGGAGTATTTATGGAAACACTGTCTGCAAAGCCTCATCATTGTGGAAGGATAGTCATGCCTTTCAAATTAGTAATATCTGATTCCAGAGGGCCAATGTAAGCACAGCTTTTGTGGTGTGAAAATATATTGCTTTCCGTCTCACTGAGAGACACAAAGAGGGATTTCCATGAGGGGACCATCATCAAAATCGGAGATAAAGAGCTCAATACATAAAAATGGATATCTCTAATGACTGGTGAAACCGCCCCTGGCAGCAGTAACTTCAAGAGGTAAGTCATGAAAACGACAAATAACAGCAAGTCAAAAAAACAACATAGTATAATAAGGCATAAAAATGTCATAGTCTAAAAATGTGATTTAATTTCATTATTATTATAGGGAATAAACTGTTATGGTGTTGTAAGGCATAAAAATGTATGAAAACGTCATAGAATAGTAGGGAACAAAACAATAAGACATGAAAATGTCAAAAGACGTCATACTATAGTAAGGCAGAAAAATGTCACAGTATAGTAAGGCATAAAAAAAATTAGAAAACGTCATAGTATAGTAATGTGAATAAACGTCATAGTATAGTAAGGCATTGAAATTTATAAAAACGTCATAGTATAATAAGGCACAAAACCTGTGATTATAATAAGACATGAAAATGTCAAAAAAATGTCATAGTATGGCAAAGCATTAAACAACATAGTATAGTAGGGCATAAAAATGCCCAAAAATGATATAGTATAATATGGCATAAAACGTCATAAAAATGTCTTAGTATGGCAAGGCATTAAACAACATAGTATAGTAAGGCATAAAAATGCCAAAAAAAGATATAGTATAATATGGCATAAAACGTCAAAAATACATCATAGTATATTAAGACATAAAACGTCATAAAAATGTCATAATATGGCAAGGCATTAAAAAACATAGTATAGTAAGGCATAAAAATGCCAAAAAAAGATATAGTATAATATGGCATAAAACGTCAAAAATACATCATAGTATATTAAGACATAAAACGTCATAAAAATGTCATAATATGGCAAGGCATTAAAAAACATAGTATAGTAAGGCATAAAAATGCCAAAAAAAGATATAGTATAATATGGCATAAAACGTCAAAAATACATCATAGTATATTAAGACATAAAACGTCATAAAAATGTCATAATATGGCAAGGCATTAAAAAACATAGTATAGTAAGGCATAAAAATGCCAAAAAAAGATATAGTATAATATGGCATAAAACGTCAAAAATACATCATAGTATATTAAGACATAAAACGTCATAAAAATGTCATAATATGGCAAGGCATTAAAAAACATAGTATAGTAAGGCATAAAAATGCCAAAAAAAGATATAGTATAATATGGCATAAAACGTCAAAAATACATCATAGTATATTAAGACATAAAACGTCATAATATGGCCAAGCATTAAACAACATAGTATAGTAAGGCATAAAAATGTCATAGTATAGTATGGTATAAAAACGTCATAGTATGATAAGGCACTAAACGTCTTATTATAATAAGACATGAAAATGTCAAAAAAACGTCATAGTATGGCAAAGCATTAAACAACATAGTATAGTAGGGCATAAAAATGCCAAAAAATGATATAGTATAATATGGTATAAAAATGTCAAAAAAGTCATAGTATAGTATGGCATAAAACGTCAAAAATACATCATAGTATATTAAGACATAAAACGTCATAAAAATGTCATAATATGGCCAAGCATTAAACAACATAGTATAGTAAGGCATAAAAATGCCAAAAAACGTCATAGTATAGTATGGTATAAAAACGTCATGGTATAGTAAGGCATTAAAATGTATAAAAATGTCATTAAAAAAGTAAGGCATAAAACATCATAGTATAGTATGGCATAAAAAAAATTAGAAAATGTCAAAGTATAGTATGGCATTAAAATGTCAGACAACGTCTACAGCATAAAAACGTCATTGTATAGTAAGGCATAAAAACGTCATAGTATGATAAGGCACTAAACGTCTTATTATAATAAGACATGAAAATGTCAAAAAAACGTCATAGTATGGCAAAGCATTAAACAACATAGTATAGTAGGGCATAAAAATGCCAAAAAATGATATAGTATAATATGGTATAAAAATGTCAAAAAAGTCATAGTATAGTATGGCATAAAACGTCAAAAATACATCATAGTATATTAAGACATAAAACGTCATAAAAATGTCATAATATGGCCAAGCATTAAACAACATAGTATAGTAAGGCATAAAAATGCCAAAAAACGTCATAGTATAGTATGGTATAAAAACGTCATGGTATAGTAAGGCATTAAAATGTATAAAAATGTCATTAAAAAAGTAAGGCATAAAACATCATAGTATAGTATGGCATAAAAAAAATTAGAAAATGTCAAAGTATAGTATGGCATTAAAATGTCAGACAACGTCTACAGCATAAAAACGTCATTGTATAGTAAGGCATAAAAACGTCATAGTATGATAAGACATGAAAATGTCAAAAAAACGTCATAGTATGGCAAAGCATTAAACAACATAGTATAGTAGGGCATAAAAATGCCAAAAAATGATATAGTATAATATGGTATAAAAATGTCAAAAAAGTCATAGTATAGTATGGCATAAAACGTCAAAAATACATCATAGTATATTAAGACATAAAACGTCATAAAAATGTCATAATATGGCCAAGCATTAAACAACATAGTATAGTAAGGCATAAAAATGCCAAAAAACGTCATAGTATAGTATGGTATAAAAACGTCATGGTATAGTAAGGCATTAAAATGTATAAAAATGTCATTAAAAAAGTAAGGCATAAAACATCATAGTATAGTATGGCATAAAAAAATTAGAAAATGTTAAAGTATAGTATGGCATTAAAATGTCAGACAACGTCTACGGCATAAAAACGTCATTGTATAGTAAGGCATAAAAACGTCATAGTATGATAAGGCACTAAACGTCTTATTATAATAAGACATGAAAATGTCAAAAAAACGTCATAGTATGGCAAAGCATTAAACAACATAGTATAGTAGGGCATAAAAATGCCAAAAAATGATATAGTATAATATGGTATAAAAATGTCAAAAAAGTCATAGTATAGTATGGCATAAAACGTCAAAAATACATCATAGTATATTAAGACATAAAACGTCATAAAAATGTCATAATATGGCCAAGCATTAAACAACATAGTATAGTAAGGCATAAAAATGCCAAAAAACGTCATAGTATAGTATGGTATAAAAACGTCATGGTATAGTAAGGCATTAAAATGTATAAAAATGTCATTAAAAAAGTAAGGCATAAAACATCATAGTATAGTATGGCATAAAAAAAATTAGAAAATGTCAAAGTATAGTATGGCATTAAAATGTCAGACAACGTCTACAGCATAAAAACGTCATTGTATAGTAAGGCATAAAAACGTCATAGTATGATAAGACATGAAAATGTCAAAAAAACGTCATAGTATGGCAAAGCATTAAACAACATAGTATAGTAGGGCATAAAAATGCCAAAAAATGATATAGTATAATATGGTATAAAAATGTCAAAAAAGTCATAGTATAGTATGGCATAAAACGTCAAAAATACATCATAGTATATTAAGACATAAAACGTCATAAAAATGTCATAATATGGCCAAGCATTAAACAACATAGTATAGTAAGGCATAAAAATGCCAAAAAACGTCATAGTATAGTATGGTATAAAAACGTCATGGTATAGTAAGGCATTAAAATGTATAAAAATGTCATTAAAAAAGTAAGGCATAAAACATCATAGTATAGTATGGCATAAAAAAATTAGAAAATGTTAAAGTATAGTATGGCATTAAAATGTCAGACAACGTCTACGGCATAAAAACGTCATTGTATAGTAAGGCATAAAAACGTCATAGTATGATAAGGCACTAAACGTCTTATTATAATAAGACATGAAAATGTCAAAAAAACGTCATAGTATGGCAAAGCATTAAACAACATAGTATAGTAGGGCATAAAAATGCCAAAAAATGATATAGTATAATATGGTATAAAAATGTCAAAAAAGTCATAGTATAGTATGGCATAAAACGTCAAAAATACATCATAGTATATTAAGACATAAAACGTCATAAAAATGTCATAATATGGCCAAGCATTAAACAACATAGTATAGTAAGGCATAAAAATGCCAAAAAACGTCATAGTATAGTATGGTATAAAAACGTCATGGTATAGTAAGGCATTAAAATGTATAAAAATGTCATTAAAAAAGTAAGGCATAAAACATCATAGTATAGTATGGCATAAAAAAAATTAGAAAATGTCAAAGTATAGTATGGCATTAAAATGTCAGACAACGTCTACAGCATAAAAACGTCATTGTATAGTAAGGCATAAAAACGTCATAGTATGATAAGACATGAAAATGTCAAAAAAACGTCATAGTATGGCAAAGCATTAAACAACATAGTATAGTAGGGCATAAAAATGCCAAAAAATGATATAGTATAATATGGTATAAAAATGTCAAAAAAGTCATAGTATAGTATGGCATAAAACGTCAAAAATACATCATAGTATATTAAGACATAAAACGTCATAAAAATGTCATAATATGGCCAAGCATTAAACAACATAGTATAGTAAGGCATAAAAATGCCAAAAAACGTCATAGTATAGTATGGTATAAAAACGTCATGGTATAGTAAGGCATTAAAATGTATAAAAATGTCATTAAAAAAGTAAGGCATAAAACATCATAGTATAGTATGGCATAAAAAAATTAGAAAATGTTAAAGTATAGTATGGCATTAAAATGTCAGACAACGTCTACGGCATAAAAACGTCATTGTATAGTAAGGCATAAAAACGTCATAGTATGATAAGGCACTAAACGTCTTATTATAATAAGACATGAAAATGTCAAAAAAACGTCATAGTATGGCAAAGCATTAAACAACATAGTATAGTAGGGCATAAAAATGCCAAAAAATGATATAGTATAATATGGTATAAAAATGTCAAAAAAGTCATAGTATAGTATGGCATAAAACGTCAAAAATACATCATAGTATATTAAGACATAAAACGTCATAAAAATGTCATAATATGGCCAAGCATTAAACAACATAGTATAGTAAGGCATAAAAATGCCAAAAAACGTCATAGTATAGTATGGTATAAAAACGTCATGGTATAGTAAGGCATTAAAATGTATAAAAATGTCATTAAAAAAGTAAGGCATAAAACATCATAGTATAGTATGGCATAAAAAAAATTAGAAAATGTCAAAGTATAGTATGGCATTAAAATGTCAGACAACGTCTACAGCATAAAAACGTCATTGTATAGTAAGGCATAAAAACGTCATAGTATGATAAGACATGAAAATGTCAAAAAAACGTCATAGTATGGCAAAGCATTAAACAACATAGTATAGTAGGGCATAAAAATGCCAAAAAATGATATAGTATAATATGGTATAAAAATGTCAAAAAAGTCATAGTATAGTATGGCATAAAACGTCAAAAATACATCATAGTATATTAAGACATAAAACGTCAAAAATACATCATAGTATATTAAGACATAAAATGTCATAATATGGCCAAGCATTAAACAACATTGTATAGTAAGGCATAAAAATGCCAAAAAATGTCATAGTATAGTATGGTATAAAAACGTCATAGTATGATAAGGCACTAAACGTCTTATTATAATAAGACATGAAAATGTCAAAAAAACGTCATAGTATGGCAAAGCATTAAACAACATAGTATAGTAGGGCATAAAAATGCCAAAAAATGATATAGTATAATATGGTATAAAAATGTCAAAAAAGTCATAGTATAGTATGTCATAAAACGTCAAAAATACATCATAGTATATTAAGACATAAAACGTCATAAAAATGTCATAATATGGCCAAGCATTAAACAACATAGTATAGTAAGGCATAAAAATGCCAAAAATCGTCATAGTATAGTATGGTATAAAAACGTCATGGTATAGTAAGGCATTAAAATGTATAAAAATGTCATTAAAAAAGTAAGGCATAAAACATCATAGTATAGTATGGCATAAAAAAATTAGAAAATGTCAAAGTATAGTATGGCATTAAAATGTCAGACAACGTCTACGGCATAAAAATGTCATTGTATAGTAAGGCCTAAAAACGTCATAGTATGATAAGGTATAAAAATGTCATAAAAACATAACGGTATAGTAAGGCATAAAATGTCATAGTATAGTAAGACAGCTGTTAACGAAGATAAAAATGCCAAAAAACCTTACAGTATAATAAGGTATAAAAAGTCATAGGATAGTAAGGCATAAAAAACGTTGCAGTGTAGGAAGGCATAGAGTTTTGCCTAAAGGATCAATTTTGCAGGGGGATTGCAAACCCCACCATTTCCAGGTGTTAAGGTAGCTATAGCTTGTTAAAAACACTGACACCTTCTGCTGTGTGTTCTATGGAACTACATGAGTAGCTAAGACATTAGCGAACATTCTAACCAGAAGCTAGCATGCTAGCTTGGTCTGGACTACAATCATTACTCCAGGGTTGGGGTGGCTGGGGGTTAGGGGCCTCTGCCCTGTCCCAGAGGTCACATCTGAAAATAACCTTCATGGTTTATAGAAACACTGGAGAAGGTTTCATGCTTTAGTCATAAAATGCACAATACCTAACATAACAAGCTGCACTAGGGGAATTTCAGACAATTTTCCATAAAGAACTTCAGCTCAGACGGTATTCTTATGTCTGGTGTGAACGGCTCTCTGCGCTCATTCCACAGCATCTCTATTGGATTCAGGTCTGCACTCTGACTGGGACACTGGTGAGAGGACAGTTGTCAGACACTGGATTTAAAGTCGACACAAGGTGTTAACAGGAGTCCCACAAGGGGTATCTACAAAAATGAAGCCTCCTGAGAGTTTCCCTAACTTCCTTAATGTTGTCCTCACTCTCAACAAACTGCACTGTCATCACAAACATGTAGAGGACAACACAAGAAGCCAATAACAGTTCTTGTTGTCCGCATATGGCATCTCTCCGCTGATGCTGTCGCCCTAACATTCATTTACATTTTTGAGGAGGGACGTAAGCTATGGCGTCACCTTGGTGCCTGTGCATTTACACGCTGTAGGTGGAGCGCAGCCCAATAATGCAGAGCTATAAATCCAGTTCAAGCTATATGCTAAATTAAGCCTCCTGGCTCTCGATCTCTACTAAACTCACAGAACTGAGAGTGGTATCAATCACCTTACCTAACTCTTAGAAAGAAAGTGAATTACCAAATTTACCAAAATGTGGACTGTTCTTTGAAACTGAAGAGTTAAAATGACCACTGACATCTAACTAGAGGTCTGACTGGTCAGTCCATGTTCCAGTGCGAAAATCCAGGACTAGTCTTTAATGATCAGAAGATAACTAGGACAAAACAAAAACAAAAGTGAGCCAACTTTTTATACACAGTCTATGGAGCCAACAAAATAAGTAAATATCACACAGTGATGTATTTATTATTATATTTATTATATATTTTTGTTCAAAGCTCTTGTACTGCTGCTGGACTTTTCTTGCTCATGGCTGAACACCTCTGAGAACAATGCATCTCATCACACAAACACACTGAAGCTAGGATTATACACTGATGGGATAATTTACTGGACACACTTTTTTCAGAACTATAAAAGGCTGAGTGAACAAAATTTCTCTTGTTCAATTACAGATATTGCTCTTATGACTCTTGCATTCAAGCTTCTTCATAAGCTGTTATTGCTTCTCTATAATCCCTATTAATTGGTACTCCCATGATATCAGACCTTTCCCCAAAAATGTTTATGAACTCAGAGCACAATGAGATACACAGTCAAAATGTGTGAGCAGTTGATAGCATAAAGCGGATTAGAGTTTTGGATTGGCCTACCTCAGAGCTCCTCTCCGGCGCTCGACTCTCCATGATCTCATAAGCAGGATCAGCTCTTCGTCTTTCCTCTTTGCTATTAAGCCTTTTGTCTGGTGGGAGAGAAAAATATAGTGTGTTTTAAATATATGAAACAAAACTGCAATTTTTTTTGTGCCAGTTGCCAGCAGAGAAAATAATCCCATACTGTGGTTTTTAAATCCATTTGTGAATCAAAGCAGACAGAGTGCTCTCTGGGTATAAATGCATGCATTCCTGCAGATCCAGGGATGGGAACAAGTAACAGTGGAATGATTTGTCATCTCACAAAACCACATACTATTACACATGGGGAAATAGCATCCGTCTGCTGCATGGTGTTGGGAATAGGGGATGTATTAAACACGGCTAATGTCCAAGACATCAAAGTTTGCATGCTGGTAAAGAAACTCGACATGCTGCGGACAGTGAAGTGCAAAACCTGATATAAATACTAAACTGTAACTATTGTTGTCACTGATACTTTCAGTTTTATTATCCAGAAAGCTTTCATGTTAAATTCTAACTGCAACATCAGCATTGACGATATAATCTGACAGTTATCTTATAACACATATAGTGGCATTAACGTAACAGCCCAACTGATGGTGGATTTTTCAGGTCAATAACAGATTACTGACAGTATAAAAAAGATATGTCAATTTTTTGTATATAAACTCATGATGAACTTAATAAGAATCTTTTTTTTTTTTTTTTTTTTTTAAAAAAGGAACTGTGAACTGAGTTGGACTTTTACAGACTCTTAAAATCTAGGCAGTCGTGACATTGCTTCAAATATATATTTGTGACGACATTTTATGTCCTTAGTGCAATTTCTTGTTGCTTATCAGCCAGTGTATATAGTGATACCTCTGCACTAAGCTAATGATGGCCAGTATACTAACCTGGCGTATTTATCGGTCTGATATTGCCAGATATATAATTTTTTTAAGCAGCCAGTCTTAAAAGGGATCCATATAAATATGTGCATGGAAAGCAGCACACTCATAACTCCAGTGCATTTATCTAAACTTTTACCAATCGTCTTTTTTAGAAAATAAAATTTACCCAATATGTATCATTATTTTCAGTAATTTTTCAGTAACATTTTGAAATAAAGCAACCTTTAAAGAGAATTAAATGCTGTAATTTCTCACTTTAATAACAGTTAATAATCATTTACCAATGCTAGATAAACCATTAGTAAGAACAACTTTGGTTGTGAGAATTATTCAGTAATAATGGTGTTTTAAATGATAATAATCCAATAATAAATGCTTAATAAATTGTAAATAAATAGATTTTGGGAGGGATCCTCTGCAGCCCTGCTCCAGAAGGTGACGGCTCATATGGTCCAATCAATCAGAGGGACTTTTAACAACCTCGCAACCCAAAAGTCGTCCCTATTGGCTTGTAATTTATAATCTAAAAAGCTTTATTAAACCATCAGTTACAACTTGGAAAATCCTTTATAACGGGCCTTGTTAGAAAGTGGTAGCAAAGTTTGTCATCCTTAAAAATGCACCATCAGCCGGTACTTAATTTCAGATTTTAACAAAGTTTGCAGTAACTTCAATTCCCTCTAGTTTTCAGAGACCTCAAAGAGCTCAGCTGTACTAGCAACAGCAAAAACAAACATCACAGAGTGTGAAGAGAAAACAAGCAGTTGATAAAATAAAAGAAGCCAAGAGGAAAGTGTGTTTTTTTATTGATGACAAAGAGGAAGAAGGACAGAATCAAAAAGACCCATTTCAAAAGGACAGAGCAGGAAAAGGACACCAAAGGAATCACATAAGTTGAAGAGGAAACTGGTGAAGAGGCCTCTTACCTTCACTGGTCACTGAGCAACCATTCATCTCCTCATACTGACACTGCCCGTCCACGCCGTGTGATCCATCACTGTGAGCTTGATAGAGCAGCTCTTCATTAACAGCTACTTCATGTCCTTGGCTTTTCTTGAGGTTCAGCCCGGATGGAAAGGTTTGCAAAGAGTAAATGTTCCTGTTGCGGATCATTTCAGCAGGTACGACCCGGGGAGGAGGCTGGCAGTGGTCTCTTTGACACTTCAAACAATTTTCATAAATGACAGCTCTTCTGTCTTGCTGTGAATCTTGTAATGGTACACAGGTGCCAGTCGGTGCAGAGTTGAGCTCATTTCCAAAAGCAGGGCTCATTGACTCATACAAGTTAAGTCCGTTTGGCTTTGCCTCTGGCTGCCTATCTGCACTTGGAAAGCCGAGCAGATCAGCTAAGAGACTGGCTAATTTCTCTCTTCCTCTTTTTGGCAGCAGCGAATCCTCACTCATCCCGAGGATGCTTCCAGAGCCAGGAGAGGCCCCGGATTTCTCCAGAATTTTCTTCACCGCAATACTGTATTCAATGGCAGTGCCGGGTCTGCATGGTGATTTGTCAACGCTTTGATCTGCTGAATTGAAAATATGATGTTCTGGAGGCAAAAACCCTTCAACACACTTTGATTTCTGTCCCAAATCAAGTCAGCGAGCTGTGGCTGCTACATCAGTGCTTCGTCCCAAACGTGCATCAAATCTGCATGCCAAAGGAAATGCATGCAGTGTACACACAATATTTCAGCTGATTTACACTTACCTGGTACGGCAGCTATCACTGAACCACTTGCAGCAATGCACGGTGTCCCCTGTGAAATGATAAAGGAAATATACTAATTAGATTCCTTATGCAAACTGTCTTAAATTGACGGTTTTTGTGTGAAATATGAACTGTAAGAAAACATCTGAGCTTGGTGTTTATATATGAGGCACTTAAAAAGGAAAAGGTTGGCAATGATCTGTGTGTATATATATATATATATATACATATATATATGTTTTTTAAACAATCCCATGAAAAGACACACACCAACAATGTTTTAATCTCTCAGTATTTTTTTTTTTTAAACTCTCGGCCACAAGCCAACAGGTTCCTCTGAAGATGTAAATCTTTATAAATGGGTTGTAAATATATAGCTTCACTTTTAGAAAAGGATACTAAACTAACTTTGAGCAAAGGTTACAAAAACAGGAATAAAATTGTGTATTTGTTGGGCTGCAGATTCAAGAATTTACAACAGCAAAACAAAAGAAGTGGGAAGTAAACGGCAGTGCCAATGTTCAGCGTAATGAAGGAACATGCCACCCAGTACAGCTTTGTGGCTCACTGATGTGTTTTTAATACTTTATGAACAACTGTGGAGCTCTATGACACAGAGGAATAACATGAACATTCATTGCTGCTTCTGGACTTTGTTTACAATAAAAATATAGATTATTGCCAGCTCACCACATTGGACAGTTTAGTTTTATATATTTCCAAATGTTTCAAATTATGTGAGACGTCATGACTGCGAGTGCTCTAAATGTCATGTGCACGACCGAAATATGACATGATATACGACATCCATCACAAAGATCATTCAAGTGTTTCACTTTGATTTTTGTTCCTCGGATTGAGTCTGATGACAACTGTGTGACAGCGACTATATTAATCATTATTAATTATGATGAAATGATCTTCATGCATTTATAAATATATTCCAAGATGTGAAATTACATGTATTTACTCATGGAATAATGCTCTTTTGTTTTGAACTAGCCCTTTAACTGTGAGCCAATAAACACTACAGGGCTGGATTGTGTTGCTGAGGCTAAGGGTGATAAATGCCCTCCCACACTGCTCATACCTGATCCATCACCTTCTGGCCAATAACTCATGTTTAATTTAGCTCACTGAATTCTGACTGAAGGGAACAAACAGGACACATACTTTATCCAGAAACACATGAAAAGTTAATCAAATGTAATTTGCATTCTTGACTAAATGCACTACCAGCAGGTGGAGCTGTGAGTATTCAGCTTCACTGACTGACATGAATAAACCTGGCTGTTCAAGTGGTAGAGTTTGGCAAAGAAATTTAAATTATATCATCAATATTTAAGAGTTATTGTCCTACAAATGCAAGATTTTTACTGTAATTCATCAGTAAAAAGACATTTCATGAAAAATGATATAACGCTACATACCACAGCCGGGCAGGATACAATAGGTTTACACTAAAATCTAACATATCTTTCACTATATTTGTCACTTATACAAACTTATCAAGATTAGATAATGAAAGCAAGAGTACAGCTGATTAACTGATTAATAATTTAAAAATGAGACCAATCACTGAAATAATTTTTTAAGCAAAATCTCAGGTTCCAACTGGAAATGTGAATATTTGATTCAATTTCTATGATATTAATCTGGATTAAGGCTGAAACTATTTTCATTATCAATTAATCTGCTGATTAATTATTGTCTAAAAATGGCCAGAAAATTGTAAAAAAAAAAAAAAAAATGCTCACCACACGTTCCAAGAGTTCAAAATGTATGTCTTCAAATCTCTTGTATTGTTTGAACAACAATCCAAATCCCGAAGATATTGAGTTCAAAATTATAGAAGATGAAGAAAACCAGAAAATATTCCAACTCTGAGATCATGAAGCCAAGGAGAAAATCACCATCACCTAAAAGAACAAGACGACTAAACCTCAAAGCTCAGACTGACTCAGACTTTCGCCAGAAAAGCAACAAATCACAGTCTCATTTGGCAGCTTGTTTATAAAAACAACAATTAAACCTGGATGGCATTCAATTTAGAGTTTACACGCAACTCTCATAAAAACAAGAACGCTCCCATATCTCAGCTGCATTAAGTTACGCAATATACATTAAAGTTTTAAAAAGAGAAAACTGCAAGTCACTCACAACTCGCAAGGTCCAGATCTGCTGGATACAATGACAGTGTCAACTTCAATTGGATGCTGAAATGATAACTTGTTAGACAGATGGGTCGTGGGACTGTTCGCTGTTTTGACACCAAATGCAAAGCGGCATCACCGTCAGCCTGCACCACAAAGGTCATATTGACAGCGAGCCACAGAACAGATGATAGAGTGATGATAAGGCCTGCTCACACAAGCTGCTACTGCACGACAGCGGGTTATGCAACAGAGAGTGTTAGGGAGACCGTCTGACCGAGAGAGATGCCATTTCATCTACGTTTTAAGATTAAACGATAGAACTACGCTTAACCCAAGGGGAAAAAAGAGGGAAAAAAGACACACAAAAAAGTACATATACATATATATATAGATATAAATAAAAAGCAACTTGGTCCAAACACTCAAAAATATGTTCCTACTCACCTTAAATCCACCACACACTGAGCAGATGGTTACAATGGTTTTGGAGACAGATGTGAGGGAGCTGCAGATGTGACAGGGGTCAGGATGTTCACTGGAGGGCACCACCTTGTTTTTTTTACTCTCCTCTGCAGGGCTCTGAGAGTGTTCACTCAATGATTGTCTTTCAGTATTTTCTGAGTGAACCTCACAAGTCGTGACACTGCTCTTATCCCCCTTTGCTGACTCTATTGTGAGACCTGGCAGCGCAGATGTGTCCTTAGTTGGTGTGGGGGGTTCATTGTCTTTGGCACCCACATTTCCCTCTAGTAAAAGACTCTTAGGAGAGTCATAGAGATACCTAAGTGATGTTGGCACCTGGTACTCATGTCCAGAAACAGTGGGGCAAGTACAAGGGCTCAGGTCTTGAGCCAAGTGGGGAGGCAAGCTAAAAACAGACCCAAAGTCTTCCCCAGTGGTGATATCCAGGCTGCCTGTGTAGGAGGAGAAACTCCCAGAGTAGGAGGAATGGCTGCCGGTGGCAATGCCGCTGTCAGATGAACTCTGACGTCCAATTTCCTGAAGTTGACGGGGGGGCTTGGCCGCAGGCCGACTTCCAGCTCCCTGGCTGACTGAGAGCTTTTCGATGCTCTGTAGTGCCACTTTAGCAGCCACATGACCGACATTTTCAGACGGAGCTGAGGCCGGTTCGGTCCAAATGGCCAGCCGGCTGCCAATACTGCAGTCCGATTGGCTGGTGTCTGAGGTGTCAGAAGAACCGGATATGCTGCGGTCGTCTCCTCCGGCAGACGGGCAGTACGTGGACGACGCTGCCAAAAAATAAAATTTCATCAACAAAAAACACTGCATTCATCAATAACGCATATTAACGCTTCATAATGTTATTAGGCTTGTTTTTCCTCGGCCACCTCTCTCCCTGGTATTCACCACATAATAGGAACAATATATCAACTGTGTGAATAATGTCAAATCTGCAAACTTAATTTAAATCTAAGTACAACATTATTAAAAGCCAATTCATCATTTGTACTCTTTGGGGCAGAAGGTTCACAGCAGTGAGAGAATGATTATATGTGCTTTGAGATCATTATTTAATGAAAGATACACATTTGGAGCAGGAAGGTGAGTAAAATGGGGAAACTTTTAGGTGCAGTTTTTCTTCTTTGAATTTCAGCACACAGAATTTCAGTAACATTTTCTACCTGTGCTGCTCCTGTGAGAGAGCATGCTCAGTCGTTTCTCCAGCTCCTGAGCCTCATGGTTTAACTTCTCCTCTGAATTGGTCTGACTGGCGCTGGGATCTGTCAGAGAGAACATCCGAAACATAAGTTCACCCACAGCTCATATTGTAGAAAAAAATCGCCTCCTTCAGAGGCCGTGAATCATCAAATTAACGAGTGATGAGGTAAGTTTTGTGAGTCTTGCTACTGTCAGTGAGATATGGGATCAAATGTGACGCAGCTGAGCATTTTGTACTGCTGTGACACAGCTGTGATAACACATTCAGATACTCCAGAGAAACAAAAAGGAACATTTTCAACCACGAGGGTCTCACTCATCTTCATCTGGCATCATGAAAACAAATTCCCAGTGACAAGAATAAAAACAAAACAACAAACACTTTGGCAGCAGTGTTGTGCACCGTTCTGTGGTCTGTTAGTGTAACAGACAGAACACTGGACGGGCAGAGAAAAGGGTCACACAGGGGAACACCTTGCAGCATTTGTGTAACACTACAGGGTTTATTAATAGCGCTGCCACATGGCTCTGTTGGTACGCGCTCTGCTGCTGGCGGCTAAAGATTGTTGGTGCTGTGCAAGGATCTAATGTACCTTGGACCACCAAGGTCAACCTTGACACTGGATCAATTTTTTACATCTATCAGAGCCTGAAATATTAATGTGATAAATGTACCAAACTCTAAATGGTAGTAGGAGTATTGACTTACAGTGTACAAAGTGTCCTCAAATCAAAAAAGATAATACACTGGGACAAACTGTTGGATGACTTCAGTGAGTCTTGTCACTGGTGTCCTTTGTCTCATGTACAGTGCCTTCAGAAAGTATTTAACCTTAAGAGGCAGCTGGATTTCTCACAAGCTAGAATGCATCTTGTCAGGCTCCAGGCTGTTTGCTTGTGGTTGTACCACAGAGCTTCAGACCAATCAGCGTCTTATATGGGAGGAACCACTTGCAGCGATGTGATGACAGCGAGACAAGACTGTTCATTAATAACAATGGCATCAATAAAAGAGGTTAGCGTAGATGCAGCTGTAGCATCAGTTTTTACAGAGAGAAAGAGCAAAGAACAGCACTGAAGGCGAGTTTGATTTACTGGGTCTGGTAGTGAAAAAATGGAAAGGATGAAGAATTTTATTGAAGTCGAAGGAACTGCCTTTTTGCTGTTGAGACATGATTGTGTCGCGGCACAGATCTGGGGATCTCTGACGAAGCTCCAGAGATCCTGTGTGGAGATGCGTCATGTCTGGATTCTTCCACACATGACGAATTGAGGCCACACAGTTCAATCTTGGTTTCATCAGAGCAGAGAATCTTGTTTCTCACAGTCTGAGAGTAATTTAGGTCTGTTTTTTTTTTTGTTCCAAACTCCAAGTGGCATTCATGTGTCTGTTACTGAGGAGAGGTTTCCATCTGCCATAAAGCCCAGAGCTCAGCCAGAGTGACCATCAGGGTCTTGGTAACCTCGGTTACCAAGGCCCTTCTCCCCCGATTGCTCAGTTTGGCAGCCAGCTCTAGGTAGAGTCCTGGTTGTCCTTCTTCTTCTTTGGGACCTTTAATGCAGCAAAAATTTGTTTGTATCCTTCCCCAGATCTGTGCCTCAACGCAATCCTGTCTCTGAGCTCTGCGGGCAGTTCCTTCAACCCCCTGGCTTAGTTTTTGCTGTCATATGCATTGTCAGCTGTGAGACAGTACAGACAAGTGTGTGTCTTTACAAATCATGTCCAACCAATTAAATTTACCACCGTTGAACTGAAAAGATCAGGAATACAAAGATCAGGATGCACAGATTCAGGCTCCCTGCTGAACCTCAAAACAGATGCAAGTAATACATCTGACCTACTTACTGCAGGTACGAGGTAAACCCACCGTCAGACTTGGTGATTGGGTAGTTTGAATCTTACATTTACATGTACCAACATTTAATTGTAAAAATAAATGCTTCATATTTGTGATGATCACACTTTGTACACATTATAACTCGATTTTTTTGTGTAATGATAAAAACAAAAACATTTCTTCTTAATATGACAAAAAAAGTGAAAACATTTTCATTGATGGTACTTCTGCACTGCTTTTGTGTTTTGGAGGTTTCGAGAATTGAAGGCTGTGTGTGGCACTTGAATAGAAGTGTAGCAGCGACATTGTAAAAACAAATTAAACATGGTTTGTCATGGCTGCATCCAGACAGAAGGAAATAGAAGGTTTTGTACTGCCTCAGTCGGCACTTAAAAGCTGTGATAAACAAAATGAAAGTTTACCGCAGCATCTCCACCACCTGGGGCTGCTTAATTATCAGCTGATGGAGATTCACCATCATACCTGCTGCCTCATTTGCCACCTGCACTCCATTTAAACAGATTTCGCTGCTACTGCAATGTGCAACAAGCAGCATGCCAGCTTGACCAAATGCTGCGCAGCCAAAGAGACCAAAAAGGCATGTATCTTGGGCAACACCTGCTTAACTGACAGGTGTCGTAGCCTATCACACTCAGCTGTATTTTTGCGGCTTGCTCATCCCACCTAATCTCCTCTAACCCACCCCCTCCCCTTCGACCAATTTAGGATTCTTTGGCTCTAGTAGCTGGCACCAATGGCACTGAGCTGTAAACAGGCTTCAAACATGTTATGCTACAGTTATGAGATAAGGAATCAAAACTAAATAAACTGAAACTGATGGCACTTACGGGACAACAGAGAGTTCCTGGAAACAATAACCACTAACCAATCATAAAATCTTAGTTTATAAATGTCAAATCTTAGTTTAAACCTTTAAACCATAAATTCTTTTCCCACATTTCAAGACAAACAATTTAGTGATTAAATGGGCTCCATGGGAAAAAATTTGTATCCTGTCTAAAGAGAGAGCAGAGAGAGGTGGAAACACTACAGCACGCGAGGATAACCAACAGATAACTAAGCCTGGGAAACAAACAGCAACCAATCAAAAGAGTGACAACCAGAGAGGCAGAAATTTAGTCTGTAGGAAAGAGACACAGACTGAGGTGAACTGCGAGTGAGAACCAGAGACACAATTGAGAGCTGCAGAAAGAAGTAAGACAGTACAAGATGAGAGAAATAGGAGGGGAGAGTGGAGTGGTTGGTGTCCGAGAATGCAATGAAGTGGGGGAGGCAGCAGTGGAATCCTGTGGATGAGGTTACATACATGCCCGGAGTGATTAGGAGGCTTTGGCTGCTCTGCTTGTGTGAACTGTGACTTTGACCCCTCACTCTCCATGCAACATCCTCCCTGCTATTTATTCTACTACGTGCAACAATAATAGGAGTATGAGCTCAACCTGCGGTCAAGGCGGCAAGATGTGTGAAAACCAGAATATGTACGAACCCCCCACAGCTGCCCGCCTCACATTTTCTGTTAAGTTACAGACTGGGTGAGAAAAATGTTTGAAACTGCTCGTGTGGAAAATCAGAGGTGTTAAAGTAGACAGCGGGAGAGCAGATAATGTTTAACGGCTTTAGTAATATTAGATGTAGCACCCAAATGTTTTATCATAATAACAGATACAGGAGAGGGAGAAGATACAGGGATGAGAGTGTTTTTCTTGAACAATTCTTTGTATCTGAAATCATTCCAGAGTTTGAAGACACAGGTACATGGGATGGGCTCATATTGCATAACGACTCATATTGTTCCTCTGTTCCTTTTTTCAAATGCCAAGATACAATTTATAGTTCGTTTGAAGTTTAAAGATGCAATAACTGATTTTTTTGCCCCTTGGGGAACAGTGGGAGCAAACCACATTGACATATTATCACCTTAGAAAGTTGTTTTGACTATTATATTAGCAAACTGTTGCCTTTTGTATCCTACAGACATTGTGGTACATTAGCTTTCATTTAGGATTGTGTTTGTGTCCATCAGTTGTATCTCGCTTTTTAACCACTGGCGGCTAGCGACTGGCAACACTGAACCAAGACATTTAAGTTACAGCTGATAAAACCAAAACAAAGAGCTGAAAGATGCTAAAAACCTTGCAGCACTGAAGGGAGCTGCAGAGCTGGGAGCTAATTCTCTGAAGGTTCATCACTATGTTCGATACCTATGATACACCTACCTACACCTACTCATTTGTTTTGTAATATAAAAATATTGATTAGAGCAGCTTTAAATTTAAGAGTTAAGAGTATTTGATTGATATTTATTAATTCATTTGCTGATTGTTTTTCTTAATTAATTATGTAGTACATGAACTGTCAGAAAACAATTTCCAATTTCCTAGAGCCGACATTGACATTTTCTTGTGTCTATAATTGTCTAAGTATATTGACAATGTCAATGTCACAATGTTCTGTTTTTATCCTGTTTACTATCACAAACAATAAAGAAAAGCAGAACATCCTCACAATTGAGAAGCTGGAGCCAGAAAGAGTTTGGCATTGAGAAATTATTATAAATGGAAGGGGATTGATTTTCTTTAATCCATTTCAGCACTGAAATTAAACAATTGTAATGTTCTTTTAAAGCAAGTCGTGCACTGAAAAGTAAAACTTTTTTTTTTTTTGCCAAGAAAATAACCAGGTTCTGTCAAGTTTGCACAATTGGTGGCAGCAGAACAGGAGAGCAGAAAAGCTGAGGGTGGACAGGCCAGAGCTTGGTGCTCGTCATACAAATAAACCTCACTGTTTTTGTTACAGACTCACTCATTAAAATATTCTACCCTATTGATTCTGGAAAACTTACTGCCCTTTGGTTTTCAAATATTAGCAAATGGAGATCATGATGTTCACATATTAGCTCTATAACTGAACTACTGTACTTGTCCTCTTTGACTAGTTGAAATCCTGCCAGACGACCCTGCTGTAACAATAGTAAAAAAAAATTTGGAACGCGGCCCATCCTCCAGCTCTCCCAGCAGTAGCACGACACACTGAACTATACATAGGCGACAACTGAATAATGCCATAATCACAGCAGTACAGCGAGTACAGTAGTTATCCTCTTACTGATGTTTAAGGTGACCCTAAGCTTTACATTCACCACAGTACACTTAAATCAGGGGTTAAAATTATAAATTGCTTCAGAGGATTACCCAATTACATAAAAAAAACAACTGTCAGTCATAATTTAGACACATCAAAGCATATCCATCCACAGAGCAATCCTCTGACTCATTCTGCCAAAAATGGCTGGATTCCAGGAAGGCAGCGCACCTCACAGCTAAGATAAATCCCTGGAAGCACAGGAGGGCAGCCATGCAGGGTTTGCTACAATTATCATGGCAAGTGTTGACTTAAGTGTTTGCTCATATTCCTTGGCAACAGTGCGGCTACTCATTATCCAAATAGGCATCACCTGGAGTTCCACCTTCTCTCTCTGAACAATAGCTCTTACAACTAAACTCTCCCTGTCTGCGTAGATCTCTGACACGCAGTTGGTTTTCCAGTCCTATCCAGCTAAGCAGCATTAAACACCTCTGGTACTGACCTGGCAAAACTGGCCGCAGTCCAAAGGGGCCTCTGGTGGGGGAGATGCCCCTGACGATGCAGTCGAATAGAAAGCTGATCTGCTCGCTCTCAGCAGATGCGAGCAGAAAAACACCGGCCCCTGTAGAAAGCAGACTGTATTAGTGTCATGTTACTTTTTGCAGCACTGAAATGTAAACTGCCAGGCCAAATAGACTGTAATTGGTAAAAATTTTATTCAAGTTATCACAAGATTGGGTAGATATCATTTCAAGTTCTTCAATAATAGTGTCGATATGGATGATATCTGGTAGGGCTTCAACAAAAGATTATTTTCATCATTCTTTGTTTGCTCTTTAAATGACTAAAAATAGTGAAAAATGTTCAGTGCAATTTCTAAAGCCCAAGTGATTTTCTGTCTATCATCTAATCATTGCTTCCAAACCAATACTTTTTTTAATTTAACAAAAGCAGCCAACAAAAACTGTGCCTAAATAAAATACAGTCTAAAAATGGCAAAACAGCATTTATTGCTAACTTTTTGTCATTCATAATGAGGTTCGATACCCTGCCCTGGTCATGGTTGCTGTTAAACATTTCATAAAGTCTAAAACAATCTAATTTCCTTTTTATGGCTCCTATTTCATCTATCGTATTGATGTAGACTGTCATCAAGGAGGATATAATGATGCAGAGGTCAGAGGTCATGCTCTCCAGAGGTCTCTTGACCTCCCCCTCTGACAATGCAACTGGCTGTCCATTACAAGGTGTCACCAATAAAGGGTCGTTGTGTCGCCTTGTTCCTGAGACCACCCATGTCAAGGCTGGTCTCAATCACATTCCCAACACCCCCCTGGCCGTGAGGGGGGTCAAAGGTCAGCAAGCAGAGTCTGTGCAGGTGTCTGCACTAGTTGGAACGGAAGATGTATTGCCTGCTTAGCATTCTTATGATATGGATCTTATTAAGATCAGAGATGTATCTGTGGCACAAGAACAACTCAGGTCAGAATCAGACGCTCTAACTTCATACCTTTTCTTTTTGTGAGGATACACATCTACAGACATCGAGCTTTTGATAGCAGGTGAGTGAACATGAGGTGTACTGCCAATGGCTACAGTATAAAACAACAAAGAATAGGTGGCAGAGCTTGTCGAGTTTACAACATGAAGAAGATTCTGTGTAGAAACAAAACAATTCAAGTGGCCCCTTCTGGTCTCTCCTCTAAAAAGTGATAAAAACACAGCATCCGTACAAAGTAGCAACACTTATTAAATCGTGTTCACTAAGTGTAAATTAGCTTGAATCTTTACAGGCTCTGAGGGAAAAGGCTGGCCTTTATTTTTACAGCAGCAAAGTCATCCAAGTACACAAACATTAAAAGGGATAGTTTTGTTGTCACAACAAACTTGTACTATTCTTTCTCTTCACATGTGAGACAAGCTCAGAGACGTCTATAAAACCAGTGGCAGCTTCTCTCAGAGCCGCTAAATGATATTTTCACCAGGTAGTCACTAACTTTGTCGGCCATTTAGGCTGGACAGGGAGCGTGCAGCAGGTTTTTTAAAGCTCCATCACCTAAGACAGCTGCCTGTTGTGACTGCAAACAAGGATGATGAATGAGTCAGTGGGAGTGAACCAAAACACTAATGGTGAGGGCCCAAAACCCAAAACAATGAGCAGGAAAAAAATAATTCTCTGTGGCTTTGTCACAATTAAAAAAACCTAGTATATGGCTGGACGGCGTATGGTTCATGTGTGAGATTGAGGACGTAGTTGAAAACTGTTGTGGGACCTGTAAACAACTGCATTCTGCCTAGTGTCAGATCTTTAGACTAGGAAATGTTTGGCATTTTCACTTGAATGGCTATTCAATGATCTAGTCTTATATTCTAGTTTTCTAGAGTTTGTTCAGTTTCTCGTTAAAATTTTAGTTATGTATCTTTTTATTATTCCATTTTCCTAACTATGTGGTCTTTGTTTTATTGGGATTATTAAAAGCATCTGCTTCACTGATTTTTCAACTTGTTGATCATTTTTCTGTCAATCATCCGTCTGATCAATTTAGCACCAATATCAAGTGTTTTATACAGGGCTACAACTGAGAACATGAAAGCATCAAATGTTTGCTATTTTTGCTTAAAAACTACTAAACTGATTATCATAATGGTTTTAATTTTCTATTGATCGACTAAGCGATTTATCTAATCCATCTAGTTTTATAGAACCGTACGTACACATTATATACACATAAATCCAGCATTTCCTGCTGAAAAACTATAAACACTGAGGTGAACTATCAAGCAGGACGTGGACAAAAGGTCGGACGGTCCAACATCGTTACACCACCTCTCCTTCTGCTTTGGATAAACTGTGCTGGGAGATTACATGTCGCAGGAATGCACGCCCTTCAACACACAAACATTTGAATGCACCTTAGCATTCACTAATTTCCTTTCAAATTTGCCTTTTTTTTTTAATATGAAACTAACTAGTGATGTCTGACCTTCTTCACATTACGTGGGTGTCACTGCTGAAGAGTTAATGGAGCTAAATAAATCACAAATCACATTCTCAAGTGTCATGTTTCCATCGCGTGTCCGAAACGCTCTGATGTCTCTGGTGTTCCCTTCGAGTCGGTGTCGGCCCCCTCCAGGTGTTGACATACACTCATCTCTTTAATGGTTTCGTGCCTATTCCCAGCTGTGGTTTACCTTATCGCAGCGACGCACACACACAGCTTATGAGTGTTATATCTGAGCTCAGAAATAACTCATATTCCTCAAAAACAGCTTCTGTGCAGTGACATGATGGTGAATTTTGGGCGTAGCAGGGATGATCCTGCACAGACTGAATTATTTCCTCCAGCAGGTTTCTTTTTGCCATGAAGCAGCTGTTTTACTTTTCACCAAGTCAGAGGACAAAAGACGACCAACAAATGAGAACAGGTGAAAAACTTTACTGCCTTTTACATCATATTCTCTACAATACTAGGCCACACAAATCATATCAACAGTAAGAGCCCACTATTCAAATTTTATAAGTAATAGTTGGACTCACACTACACATGGCCGAAAGTATGTGGACGCCCAAATACCACATCCATATGTGACTTTTGAATCTCATTTTTCCATAACCATGGACATTAATATGTTGCCATGACAGTCTTTACTCATCTGATAAGGCTCTAGGGGCATTTTGAACAAAAAAAAGTTTGGGAGACACTCGTCTAAATTATCACTGTAGACTGTAGCATTTAAGATCTCCCCCTCATTGAAACTTAGTGGAACCATGAAAAACAGCCCTGGACAAAAGTGACTGGGTCTCCAGATACTTTTGGCCATATGGTGAAGCAAGGCAAAGCTGGGAAATGAAAGCAGGAAACTCCAAATGGCTCTTCCATTAGCCACCAAACACTTCCTCAACTCTGAATTGAAGACTAATGTGAAAAACTGAAAACCAGTATTCCGGTGCAACAAAATTAAACAACAGCTGGAGCAGAAGGAGTAAGTTACAGGCCATTAGCTGCCCTATAAATGTTACAATCACACACTTTTCAGATACGAGGCAGTTAAACAAGAACCTATTGAAGATCCTACAATCCGCTCAAGACGACATCTGCACATCTCACCCTTCTGGCAGCGATAAAACACATGTGAAGGCTCTTTTCTCTTTGTGTCATAAAACTCCATTGAGCATCTTTCTTAATGTGTCCGCCTGAGGGAGGCCAGATGTATGAGCAGATAGAGAGGGAAACGCATCCAGTGACTCAGTTCAACCCACTAATCCTAACGCTGACACTGATGTTTTCCGTGCTGAGAGATGCCAGTTGGAAGTGGGAAGCGTTGCATGAAGGAATCAGCCCCGAAACATCCGGGACGGCATGATGATTTAAATCCATCAAATACACTGAGGAATGAACTAAAATCAAAAGGAGCTACATTTATTATGGTTAACAGCTTCTCTAAAGGCGCACCAAAGGATTTAAACTATGACTATTATAAATATAATCCCACAAACATGTATCCAGAATGTGACAGAGCCTCCTGAATAGCTTTGTGTTCTTGGTTGGTCCCTTCATGAATCACATTCATTTGTCCACACTTGATCAATTATTCATCGCCAATACATTACAGACAACAACGGCGTGATCAAAACCCTCCAGTTATTACTGCACTGCAGTTTCATCCAGACAACTTAAAAACAGGCCTTGAAGTAAAATGAGCTGCAGCTGGAATGATCAATTTTCTCTGGGCTGCTGGACCAAAAGATTGTTTCTGCAGACTATTTACTGTTGCAGCCACAAGGGAAAAAAAAGTTTTATATTTTTTACAAACCACATTAGCAAAATGAAGACAGAACAGCTTAATTACCAATAATAAAGACTCAAACTTAGAAGACAGAATCCCTCTCCCTCCTCTGACTGGCTGTAAAGCATGTTTTTAATTCACAGTTGCACATGTCATTATTGTACTGGGACAGTCATTGTACTAGGAAGGAGGCTCTCTCCACAGACACTGTTGAGTGAAAGGCAGAAATGAATCATCTCAAATCACAGCCAGTGATTAATTGCTCTATTTGAGATAGACATAAGGAAAACACGGCTCATAACATGATTTAATGAGCTATTAGCCTCTAATGATGTGACCCGGTTTCACTGCAGAGACATTATTGCCATGAGAAGATGAAGACAGTGATTAATGTGGTTGTACTGAGACGCTGTTTGCCTTTTCTTAACATCAAATTTTATTCGTTTCATTTGCACTGTGTATGGAATAAATTTTTGTGCTCTCTCACATTTTTTTTATTTCAGCCTTGATATTATATATTTTCCTGTCCATGTACTAAATGTATATTGCTCATTAATCTTAAAAAATGTTTTACAGTTCCTTTAGTTCCCCTCATTCCCAGACACAACTGTGCTGTTTCAGCCTTACAACCAATTATCTCGATGCTTTGAAGAACCATCTGCCAAACACAAAATATAATTTTATGGAGCCACACATTAGCTAAATGGCCAGTTAACCCAAACTAACACATCCAGATGTAAGATAAAGATAACAATATGAAGAGCAATGAACTTACAGTAGCCACATCTTGTTCCTCCTTCAAACACAAATCCATTGGGTACAGGTCCATATCTGCGCAGGTCTGGAAGGTTCCAGTGGCCGATGATAACAGGAGGGACGTCCCGCGACAGAGCCAGTAAGTTGTTGCACAAATGGAGAGCCGCAGGTCCGCTCTCCAACTTGGTCCCTGGTAAGACTGCAACACTGAATCTGTGAACTGAGCAAACAGAGAAACTGGTAAAGCACTAAAGAAAAGACTAACTCTTAGAACTTCCAGTATAATCCAACAATTGAATACAACTGCTTCAGTTGAGGGACTGGCATCTTAATAGATGAGCCTCAATAAGCACAAGAAGAACCTAAAGTTTGTTTTAAACAATTGACATTCACTGTAATGAGGTGTGCAGGAAAGAAAAATACAGAAATGGACAATGTAGCAAGAAAAACTCATGACTTAGAAACTGGTTTTCACAACATACACATCTCATATGGGAAACATACATATACGCAGCACGGACAACCATGTATCTTTATATGTACTTATACACATATCCACATGAATACAAATATAAACATGCATACACAGAAAGATCAGTGAGCTATCTTTTTGGGGATGCTATGACAAATGGGATGTTTGTTTGATTTCATGCCAGGAGTTAGATGAGAAGATTGATACCACTTCCATGTGTGTTCAGTAAACATGAAGCTAGAGCCAGCATCTGCTTAGCTTAGCTTAACATAAACACTGGAAACAGGGAAAAACAGCTAGCCTGGCTCTGTCCAATGGTTGCGTGTCAACAAAACAGTGACAAGTTCCTTCTACACTGGTACTTGTACAGATTAAACAAACATGATACCACATGTAATTCAGTGAGCTTTAGAAGCGCTGGTAGGCAGATATTTTGACATCTGGACAGAGCCAGGCTATCTTTTTATCTGTGTTTCCAGTTTTTATGCTAAGCTAACCAACTTGTGGTTGTTGTCATCCAAATCTTAGTGAGAAAACAAATGACTGCTTTTTTTTCCAAAATGTCAACCCAGCACTGGAGTGAGCATCATTATACTGATGTCGGTCAGAATCAGGTTGAAAATAACTTGAGTAACACTTTGCAGGGCGTAGAAAACTCTTATTTCAGCATGGATTCAATTTCATTCAGCATAAAAGAAGAAACAGCTGCAGACAAACGATGAAATCAGCAAGCCGAGCGATGAACACAACAGGCTCAGATCTAAAGCCCAGCGCAATCAATCAAAGCCTGTCATAAACATCTGTGTATGGTTGCTAATTGGATATGAATTTAGACTTAAGTATAACAAAGTTTGACAAAGCTTTAGTGCTTTGTTTCCGTCTGTGTGATTGTGGAATTTCATTCAAAGCATATGTGGAGTTCCCCAGCAGCACTCAGTTAAAAGACTTTTTACTGCCCTGAGCAAACTTGGCCAGGTGAGATTGATGGAGGCGATGATGAGGAAATGTCGGCCAGCTGCGTCACGTCATCACTCAGGTTAAGAAAGATTCATATGGTGTCACAGAAGGCAACAAAAGCTCTGCGCACAGGCTGGCAGGTGACATTTCTGCTGGTTTGGACACACTCCACTCACTCTGTGGCATAAAGCAGCAGGCCACCCACACACATACACACTGACAACACACACTTTTATCTAACTCTCAACACACATGCAAGCCTGAACAGACACAGGTGCATCTATAAAAACAGGCACGCACGGATATTTTAACATAAACAAATGCCAAATTAAGCACGATGTTCTCTTCCACACAATCAGGTCTTGTAACACGTCATTAGTGTCTGCTTTAAAATTCAGCTGAACTCCTGCCACCAGCTGAACAGTCCAGCACTATTATTAGCCCCCATTTGTTTATAAATTATATAACTCATGTAATAGATCCTCACAGTAGACTATATACATGTCAATGAGTGTCTGCACTTGGCTACAAATTAAGACTTATTTCTCAGAAATAAGTCAGAAATTTGTTTTGGGTAGAAAGACAAAGCAGAACGATGTGACAGGATGATGACACATGGACAGTTGGTGACCCGAATGTCTAATATATCAATATTGTAAATTTTCAATTTGATCGCACGGCTCTATCAAACCAAACAGAAGAAAAACTTCTGTCGACCCACTGATGCACTGAGCACAGCCTGCATCTGCAAAGCAGACAACACTGCAGAATCATTCATAACCTCAAAACAAACAACTACGTCAACATCTAACTGCATCTTGCTGAGTCAAAAAACATAAATATTGATTAATAATTGGCTGCAGATGCAACTCTCTGTCATTATGAGACCTAGCAGTTACTTTTGATCAGTGTACAAGTCTTAAACAACATATCAAGCCACTGTCTTGCTCTTGTTTTTCTGACTTCAAAATATTTCTGAATTATCCCCTTGTCTATCACACCTTCACTTACAGTAAATTATTCATGCCTTTGTTTCATCGTGACTGGACTTCTCTACAATGTTGTTCTCTCACTTCAATAAATCATCAGTGAAGAAACTGATGCTTCTCCAAAGTGCTGCAGCATCTTAATCCCGTGTCTTGCCTTAATTTCACTTTCTGCTGGTCAAGTGTCAAAGCACATTCAAGATCCTGCTGATCACCTTTAAGGCTTTCATAAATCAAGCTCTTGGGTGCATGACAGGACTGTTAAGGTCAACTGACCAGAGCCCACTGACAATATGGTGACACAGTCTTGCTGCTGTGGCCAAGAGGCTGCAGAATATATTAAAGGTGGGTTTTATTAATGCGCATTTTCAAATTGGAAACGCATCAAAAATGTTTTCACCCTTGGCTGAGATGGAGAAGTCGATGATTCGACAAAAGCAAAATGCACCAAATTGCAAAGGAAACAGACTTAGCGAACAAATCATAAGGTACACGCAGCATGATGACACTGAAAGATGAAAACATCAGATTTGTATGGAGTGATAATAAGACTTATGTTCCTTAAATTGTTACATGAAACAAACATAAAAGCCACATTTCCACCAATTTCTACACCATTTTTAATCATTTGCAGCTTGACTGGCGCTCTTTTAATTTAATCCAATTCTTTTTCCAAATTTGTTGAAATTTGATTAACTGCCTAAAGACATTAGGTCCACCAGTAATGTAGCCCATTTTAAACTGCATTTGAAAACATTCTTATACAGGCTGTGCGCAGTGACACTTACTTGTTACCCCTTGTACTTGTGAACTTTGGATCTCTTTCCTTTCAAAGATGCAAACTTTCGCTTGTGGTTTTCACAGGTTTGGCAAATGACAGGGCACTTTTCTTTGACTGCGGTGAATTTCAAAACACTGAAACCTGCCAGCATGATGGATGAACTCATCTGGTTGTTGAGAATTGCTTAAACTACAGCACAGTGAGGTCAAATATGATGCTATTTTGTGATACAACCGAGGAACAAAACACTGGAGTAAAAGCAACAACAGATTTTCTCACCCTCCCCGAGGCTGTATCGTAGGCGGGCGTCCCACGCCTGCAGAGCCTCCCTGCTGTCGAAACCCAGTAGCACAGTCTGGTTCAGGCAGAGGATGACCAGAGTAAAAGCCACACCTTCATACCACTGTCCCACTTCCAGGCCGCAGATCTCCTCCAAGGTGACACTGGCTCTCTCCTTGTTGCCCTGTGCTTTCTCGGACTTGTCTTTAAAAACCAGCAGCACGAGGCAGTCTGGAGGAGTCAGAGTTAATATGAGACATGACAAAGACAGTTTAAGATAGAGATTACTTGACTGCATTTAACATCACAGTTTTGTACAACTTTAAACTTACAACTCTTCCCTAAAAATAACTAGAAAGCTGAAATCCATAATTAATTCCCAAAGTCCATGTCAAATACTAATAAGATGTGTTCTGACACACAGTAGGTGCTGCAGTGTCCTCTAGTCTTTTGGCACCTTCAAACAATTAGTGTCAACTGACAAAACAAGGCTGTGTGTGTGTGTGTGTGTGTGTGTGTGTGTGTGTGTGTCTGTGCATCACTCTCCTTCACACGAACACACCTCTTAACACACATAACTGAGGGCTGAGAACAGGCAGCTGTGATAACACTGACATCAAAGATCTGAGGAGGAGCAGCCCTCAACCTCAGTCTAACCTGTGGAGCATGTTAAGCCGTCCAGCACCAGATATCCAAAGAAACTTTTCTGTGGCGCAGTGTAATGCAATACACTTCATCACTCTGTTGAAGCCCAGTTGCTTATTCATTAAAAAAAACACACAGGCCAGGGGTAATTGATAAATTCAAGGGTTTAGATAACCTGAAACTCTATTTCAGGCAACCTGAAGCCTCCTCAGTAAATGTGACTAAATAGCAAGTCCAGATTCACTAAGTGCACATTCATGATGCATCTAAAAATACAGTGAGGTTCAGACTATCAGTCTTTAGCACATTAACTTTGACGATGGGGTCAAATTAGGGTCAGTAAGATTTTATAAGTGTGTGAAATGATGCTCATTTAAAAACTGGCCTGCATGAACCCTTGTACACATAAAACAGTAAAAACCATGTCAAAATGACACTTCTGCATGTATTACATCAACAGTGAGGCTGCACAAAGACAAAACTACCTCTGAGGAACATCTGAGCACAGATTCAAAGCTGAATGAATACTGTTAAACTTCCAAGTTCCCACACTGACACAAATGAACACACATTTAAGATACCAGTATGAATTGTGGCCCTGCATTTACAACCCAAATCAAGGCCAAAATTTGACCTAAAAAGTCACTTTCTTTAATTTACCTGCACATGCTGCCGAGAACCTGCAGTCAGACATTCGGCTCTTATTTTCTAAGTCTTTGTGTTACCTCGCTGGATGGACATTACATTGCATGTCTTTCCTACACATTCAAAAGCTTGAAGTTTTGTCCCAGGCTCATAGACACCCTCAGGTTTGTGAATATTACTTCACAAGCGCTAAGTCTCTCTGACACACAGACCAGGCCCGTGTTCTGTATCAATACAAACCAGGGAGGTCCATGAAAACACACGCAGGGCAGCACCTGATATGTTCAACTTATCTTCCTCCATTGTGGCGCAGCTGAAGTGCGTAATCATTAATCTACCTACACACCGCGCGACATTTTCACGTGAGGTTAATGGTAGCTTAGTTAGAAACTAATGTGAAATGTGTCAGACTGACCGGTAAACATCGATTTTTTTTTTTACCTGCTACAGGCGACGGCTTGCGAAGGACGAGCCACCTAGTTTTCCACTGTAAGAGAGCAAAACAAACTTTTTAAGCACAGATACAAGTGCGCCGAAGTACTTCTGCCATGTCCGTCAGCAAATTTAGTCAAGCTAAACACCTTTTTTCCATCTCTGAGTCTGGCATATCCCTCCACGACAACAGAATCCGTCATCTTCAGTCATAGTTCCTGACAGCTGCAGAGTCGCTGCCTGAATGAGGGGTCACTTTCAAAATAGCTGCTCTCTCTGCTTGTGGGGCTCAAACTCGCCCCCAGCAAGGCACATGGAAAATGGCATGACCAGAGTCTGTCTGTCTGTCTGTCTGCGTGCGTGTGTGCGCGTGCGCGCACCAGTCAGCAGACCATGCTGCTGCCACCTGGGCTGTTTCGCACCACCTGCTGCAGCAGAGAAAACTACTGGAAGAAACAATCAAATGATTCTCATTCCACAAATAACACATTTCTTGAAGACCATTTTATACTTGCACATAAAAAGAGGAAAAGACAAAAAACAGTATATAACATGGTCTATAATTTCCATATAACATGGAACTTTGAGAAATGGAGCTCATAACATGCACTAAGTCTCCAAATGTTTATAATATAAAGAACCCTATAATGACCATGTTAATGCAATAAGAATCAACCCATGCTCCATTCTCTAACTACTTTCCTGCCAAAAATGTCCTTATCAAACACCTACGTGTATTCATTACTATATCATTCTTTTTCATCTTTATTATTCATTTTAAGTTTGTTTCTCTTTGATTTTTTTCAGTGTATTTGTAACTGGCAGCAGGAAACTGAAGGAAAAAAATTATGTAAAAGAAATCAAAATGAGAGTAAATAATAATAATTAACACTTGTATGAGTGTGAAAGCAGTAAAAATACATGTTCCTCTTTTATATCCAAAATAAAGTTTGGTCTCTCAAAGTACTTTACCTGCCTAAGACAGTAATCTTTAAATAGACACCCAAAGCTTTATCAAGTCAATAAAGGTTTATTCAGTTACGAAAAGGTTCACAGTTAAAAAAGATAATCTATATACTTCCACAAGTATTACAATAAAAAAACATATAATATAATACAGTACAATATTTCATATTAAAGCCAATGTCCAGGTCATTTCCATTCATGAAGGCTTGGGTTTACGTCTGATCACTGAATTGATCCAGTCGATATAGTTCACTACTTTAGTGTAAACACCAGGCTTTCCAGAGCGGCCGCAGCCCTCTCCCCAGCTGATGATCCCATACAGGAAGCTGACATCATTCCTAGCACAGGCCAGAGGGCCCCCGGAGTCACCCTGGGGAAAACACACACAAAAGTACATACAGTCCGCACACATATAAACATACATGGATAGATCAAAGCCGTGGCACACAAACAGCTGAGTCACTCACTTCAACCTAATATATGACTGAAAATTGCACTCTGCTCATGAGGTAAACAGTTAACAACTGTGACATTTAATTTAGGAAGAAGGAGCTTAAATATTTTACACAGCGGGTTGAGTGGGTAGTTTGGCACTGTGGACAGATTTCAGCCCCTCACTAACTTCCCCCAGCTGCTCACTCAGGGGAATCCCTGCCGCCATCTGAAGTGCTGTTTCATTACTCCGATACCTCAAGACAACTTTCTGATATCGACCCTTGCAGAGCTGAGGGGAGGCTCCGGGAGCACATTTTGCCAGGAATATTTCATGATCAATTGTACTTCCCAATACTCCTCCGAGCAATAAAAGTTAAAACAAGGAGCAGGTTACAATAGCTCTTTGTAAGTTCAAACTCAGCCTACTTTAGATTTAAGCAACATTAAAGTAAATCTAAGTTGTTAGACCATTAAGTAAAGATTAGTTTAAACTGAATATTTACAGGTGTGTAACTGTTCCATAGCTAAGCCGATTTTAAAATATATTCTATGCTGGGACATAAGCAACCTCGGCAGTGTTAGATTCAATAATCACACTCCATCTTGAAATGCTTTCCTACCTGGCATGCGTCGACACAGCCGTTGAGCCCTGCACAAATCATGTCGGCAGTGACATGGTTGCCGTAGACTTCAGGCTTCCTACAAGTGTCATGAGAAATCAGTCTCACTCCAGCCTCCTGCAGACTGGAGTACGCATTTGCCTCTGTCAAATAAAGCACAAATAACACCAAAAAGAAAGTGTAAATGTTGTTGTTTGGATAGCATCTACAAGTTGAATTAAAGGCCCTAACACATCCGTGGTCCACCCACACAGGTGGGTTCACTTATGTTGCCTCATTAGACTCGTCTCAGTGCTGTGTAGGTGTGGATAGACTGGGATTGATTTGACATCTCCCCCACTCTCCTGTCAGCTTTGTTGTCAACAATTTACACCGTCATTTACATATCATTTTCCAGTGTAGCTCCTGCCACTACCAGAATGTGAGTCACGTTTGCGATATTTAGGCTGCAACAATAGCTGATTTCAGCTTACTCAGGCTAGCTTCCCCCAGTCGTCACCGGGAGGTGCTCACTAACAGCCATACCGACAGTGTGGAGGAAGTGAGACCAGTGGTTTTCTCTGTGAAAAATCCATTAACTCCAGTCTGTGAGATGGTCCGTATGCTTTTATGTAATTCAGTACAGTTAATAAAACCTTAAAATTTAGCTATATTGCTTTACTGGTTAGACTCCAGCATCGGCCTATTCACATTAAAGCTACTATACTTTATAAACTACAACGTGCAATGATTTGTGATTGAGCTTATGTGCTCTAAATTGTTTTAGATCGTGTAGGGACAGCTCCACTCACTCTCAACCAGAAGAGAGGTCTAATTAGTCAGAATAACTGAAAACACCTGTGTGGGTGTGCAGGGCCATAAAGTGAAAAATCAAAAAATGAGTATGAATTCCACACAACTAAGTTCTAACTAAAATAACTCCCCAGTAATTTAGTAGTAAAATGAGTCGCTCTTTCCAAGAGACTTACTGGGAAATTACCCAGTAAACCCATTAAACAATGTGTTTCCATGATATTTCCCAACATGAGGCTCTAAAATTAGATGCATGGTTGCTAAAAAACCTCCAAACCCCCCCCCCCAAAAAAAAAAGTTATGTTATGTTATGTTATATGAAGACAAAAATTCTGTCAGAATGAAACTAAAGCACGAGTGAGGCAACACTGCCATGATGTCTTCATCACTCACTCTCATGAATGTGTCCCCAGCCGCTGATAGTACAACAGTAGTCATCGGGGAACGTCATGCTTTTGTCTGGGAGACAGATGGGTTGGATGAACGGGGTTCTCCTCACACAGCGTCCGTCCTGCTTCTTCAGTTTGATCAGAACTGCCAAGCAGAGATGTAACGTTATGAAACAGGCAAAGAGACATTGAAAAGTTAAAGTGATGAAGCAAGTGGTAGACTTGGAGACTCCGCTGCTCAGTGAAACTGCCACACCCAACTGTCAGTGTGTGTGTGTGTGTGTGTGTGTGTGTGTGTGTGTGTGTGTGTGCGTTCATGCGGGGGAGCGCAGGGACACAGCTGTTCAGTGACGCACAGCTGTGCAAGCAGACTGGGGTCTTAAATGAGTTTGTGTGTTTCTGAATGGGGACAGGAGGTCCTCTAGTTTATGTGAGTCACTGGTATGTATGTATCGTGTGTGTGTGTGTGTGTGTGTGTGTGTGTGTGTGTGTGTGTGTGTGTGCGTGTGTGTGTGCGTGCGTGCGCGTGTGTGCAATTAATGATTACCAATGTCATGTAGTGTTGGATTAAACACTGAGAACTGTTTTGGAAAGATGTACTTCTCCACTCCGAACGTCCTGGTGTTGGGATCGGTTACGTTAAACCTCTGCTGGCCGAGCACCACACGAATCTGAGACTTCAGTGGGCTGTGAGAAGACATTTTTATTAATGGCACAGAAATTATGCACTCATAACACTGCCTGTCTGTCCAACACTAAAGTCCAGAGCCAAGTTATCTCCACAACTGCTGGTTGGATTTCCTTGAAATGTTTGTCTCCAGACAGCGAATCCTGAGATGCCCTGAGCTCTCTTTTACCACTACCATTAGTCTATTCCACATTTGCACAAGAAATACTAAGTCTGAACAGGTAGACTGCCATGAAATGTATCCAGTACATTTATACTCCCAAAAGGATTTTGTACTGTGGTGTGTAATGAACATTGTAGACTCCTGTTCTGCTTCAAACAAAGTGCAGCTGGTTAGAAAAGTTGAGCAGTGGATGTAAATTTAAAAGTAAGCCTTGCAGATATCCTGCAGACTTCCAAAGATAAAATGGCTTTTTGCACTCTGCAACTGCTGTCCGATTTAATGATTTCATGCTTTAACAAAAGATCTTTGGACTTGACACCTGAGGCCTCTTTGTTGACATCAGGAGCAAATGCATGCATCTGCACGTAAACAGCATCTGTGCATGTGATGTTTTTAGGTTTTCCTCGAACTGGATGCTGCTCTAAATATAGTCTGTTCATAACGCTGTGAAGCTGAGGGGTCAAAGTCTTTAAATGACTTGCCTTTTGAATGTCGCTTCTTCCTCAGCTCAACACCGGTCAGAAAACAGCTCAGAGAGAATAATGCTCCCCCGCTGAACAAAGAATGTTTTCTGAAGGCTGATGGTTTTTACAAACTGAAAAGGGCTCCCAAGGTTACAAAACATCTTTTCACTCACTCAAGTTTTTGAGGCACTTTTTTTTTTTTTTTTTTAAACAATGACATTATGTACAGTATATTGACTCATGGCGGCTACAAAACCTTTACTGGTTCTGCAGTGATATAAATCGAAAACATCCATTGCGGCTGAAATACACCCATAACATACTTGCGGAAGAAGCAGTGTGCTGCAGAGACGACCCAGCAAGAGGAGACGAGGGTGCCGGCGCAGAAGTCTGACTGCTCACTGTAAATTGCTGCCATCCAGGGGTGAGTACCTGGCAGAACTGAGCTTCCACCCATTATCCTCCCTCTAGCTATCGACAACCTCTTCTTGTGCTTTTTCCCACACACAGGCTTTTTTGCTGGCTTGCGGGGGTTAGGTTTTTTAATGGCGGGCAGGACTTCAAATGGGATGATCCTTCGAGAAGAAACTGCATGAGGAAACAAGTGCATGATTATATATTAGGGAATCTACTATACCTACCTACTATAAACTACAATTTTCTAACAAGAGCTAGAACAGATGAAATCACTACAAACCAGTCTGATAACTGGAATATTTTGCAGCTCCTAAATACTTCTCCTGAATATTTTCAATATTTCTCTCTTGGCTGACCCCCACCCTCCGCTAGAAGCAATAAAGCTCTTCTGTATGGTGATAATGTCAGGGTAACAGTGCGTCTCCATGCTGCAAATCATATGCTGAAGAGGGTGAAGCAGATGGAACAAGCTTGTGGATTCTGTGCATACCCCTGGCACCATGACAAACGGCCAACTGTGCCAAATCCCACTCACCACATGAATATTTGGCTCCTCCACCTGACATGACATGTTGATTCACTGTGACTCATGCCTTATTTCCCCCACTATCTCATCTAAGCCCACGTTGAAAAAAAAACAAAAACAAACAACCTCCACCACTGAACCAGTCGACTCGGCTGAATCCAGCCTTTCAGAGCAGCGTGACTCCGCAGATTCGCTGTATTCTTTTATTTAATGAGGTTGAGACAGTGAAAATACCAGATGATGCAGCATTTACATACTTTATAATAATGAGATGAATATTCAAAGAGGGGTGTATAATAAGGACAGCTAAATGAATATGCTATCCTTCATAAGGTACCTGAGGAAATACACCTTATTTGGCATTAAAAATGCAGGAATGGCAAGAATTCATAAATGAATCAACGCAAAATCAATCTGTCTTGGCAATATGCCTGGCCAAGCCACCAGATATATGATGCCTTTACCATAAGGCAAAGCATCAAAGTATCAATACACCCAGTCAGTGGTGAAACTAACTATAATTAGTGACAACAAAAGAGACTCCACTCCCGTGCCCTGTTTACTCACACACAGGCATCACACAGGAGGGGATGTCACAGTACTCCCAGGAGATGGCACCGTCATTTAGTGTGTAGCACCACGGCATCTTGTCCCCATCTGGGTTTCTGCGCACACACACACACACACACACACACACACACACAAACACACACACAAACACAGCGGACAGAGTGTGTGTAGGTGTGGCATCGCTGTTTTTAACACCAAGCATTACTCAATACAACGCAGTGGCTGCATGGCTCTCTGGGACGCTGGCTTCGATCTCTCACCAAGCCTCATACTCACACATCAATGATTTAAGATTTTTTTTGCCTTCACTTATAAGAAGGTTTCGTCGATATTAAACCTGCAATATGCAACTTTTCCAGCAATAAACTAACAATAATTACAAATGATTCATCTGAGTCTGAGCCAGTCACACAGTCTGAGTCTGTGTGTTTGTGCCCAGTGTTTTCTTGAAATTGGCTTTCCTTTGATGTTTGGGACATTTTAGGGCATATACCATTTGCTCTGGGCATGCTATATGGCTGCTGGGTAGTCATAGCAACAACAACAAATGAAAGCAGTAAGAAATAGAAGTGGAGCAAATGTGCCAGAGATAAAACCTGTTTTTTTTTTTTTTTTTAATCATAGACAGGCTGGATTCACTACGTGCTTCTTTATCGCTCGTGGTGGGTTTATGGTTGCTGGTTGCCTCTGAGTGGATTTCATTTGAGGGCTCATGCATATAAGTGACAAGTGTTGGAACATGAACTTCACAGATAAGGGGTTAGGACTAGCAAACACTTTTGTTAGCACATGGTAAAAAAGTTGGATATTTCAGCTTTAAAATTGATTTCAGGGCAAAAGTATGAAGAAATCTGGCTTTGCAGATAAGCCGTAAACATAATCGTGAATCGTGAATTTGTCAACCAAAAATCTACAGCAGCAGATAATTAGCAGGACGTCTCAGCACACACACACCTGCAGTAGGCATGCTCCCCGAGGCCCCTGAGGGGCGATGCAACCACCGTGCCGACATGGAGCTCGTCATGCAGCAGGTCTGAGTTCCACGGCAGACACCGGGCGCCAGACACCGTGGTGTCCACCAGCCCTCGGTAACTCTTGCCCCTGCTGTTATAGCACTCTGTCTCCGGCTCTGCACACACATGCATACACACAAACCACGGACGGAAGCACACAGCAATCTCAATGCCTCGATTCCACAGTACAACACAGGTATGTAAACAATATGGAGGCAATCAGTCCATTTGCGGATGCAGATGAGAATCTGGGTGATGACAGATCTCTTTCCTTCACGCTGGAATCAGTCAGAACAAGTCTTAAAAAACCCTCTCTGCATGCATTAACAGTTACAACAACCGAGGACAAGTTCGGCAGCTTGCTCATGTCTCCACCTGCTACTATTAATCAAACCGTTTTCACACACACACACACACACACACACACACACACACACACACACACACACATGCATGAACTGGCATGCACTGTATGAGCATGCAAATGTGACAAATAGACAGAAGGGGAACATATAAATATAGGAACTGCTCTGATGATGCAGACTGTGCAGCCGTTGGAAAATGTGAATCCTATTATCCTATTATTATTTTCTGCCTGATAGAACCATTATGTGATTATACTGATGATATTCAGTTCGAGCAAACTGTGCATTTCTAACTGAATGAGGGGAACAGTGTCACACAGAGTCGCCTTTACTCACCAAAGCTACAGTACGGTCCGCTGTAGCCACGCCTGCAGTTGCACACCTCCTTGCCGGTGGTCACGATCCTTCGACATGTTCCCTCGTTGTGACAAGGGTTCCTGCGGCACACTGGACACATCAAGACACACAATGTCACGTCTAAACACTATAAACCGTATATTTCTTTGTGTCCTGCACTTACTGGCTCTTATCATATGTTTTAGCATGTAAAATATCTCTTTCTCATTAGTATTTAAAACTTCTCATTAAATTACTATTATTATCATTATTAAAATTCAATTGGAGGTCCAACAAATGTTTTAAAATGTCATACATTTATTAATCAGTATTCCTGTTTCAGCATCACAACATTATTATTATGTTTTTTAACTCGCTGAATTTAAAGCCACATTAATCAATATTTTCATGCGAACAATGGATCCAAAAAAAAAAAACAGTGTGTAGTGTCACAGGGGTCGCTCCTAGCAACAAACCCAAAGACATTTATCAAACAACTCTGCAGGTCCCCTGAGCTCTGCAGAGTATTTTAGCATCTTTCAGCTCATTGTTTGGGTTTTCTGGCCTCACATCAGCGCTGTTTTCAATCGCAGCAGGCAGCAGTTTTTTTTAATCTTTCATAAAAGCTCTGATAAATCTACTGCACGCTACTTGCCACGGCACCAAATGGCAGACAGACAATGTTAGCGACTTGCCAGTGAACACAGTGGAACATTTAGCAGCTAAAGAGGAAGATATTTCCCTCAGGACTTTGATGAGGGCAAAAGAAAAAAAGCATGAGAAAAAATTTGAATGATAATGATGCTGTTTGACAGACATGTAAATAGGCAACTGTTTACTAAAACGTTCACCATGACAACTTTATAAGGTGTTTACATGTCAGTATTGTGTATACAGCTTTGTGCACTGCCTCCAAGTGGCCAAAAAATAAATGAATGCAGGTTTGACTGAATAAATCTCACCAGTGAAATATACATTTTAACTTGCAGTTGCATGAAAGGCACAGCACAAACCGGCCCTGCACATGAATGCACATAAAGTGTATTTGGCGCTAAACATTCACCTAAGATCTGTTGCAACATCTGTATAATATGCAGTGATGTCCCGTCTTCATTGGGTCCATTTAAAGATCACAGTGTCTAAACGCTGTGTTTTGGGAGGTGAATTCATCCTCTTGAGAACATCTTCGTTCAAATAAGCCAACACATAAAACTGATCTCAGTACAAAATAAAAGATACCATCCGCTTCAGGTGCATTCAGCTAAAAGGAACCTTTTTTTTTTTTTCCATGACCAGTGTAAGATTAACCCCTACCATCATGACAAAAAGCAGTTTCGGTCGAGGGAGCATGAAATGACCTCACTGCTGCTCGCTCCTTTATGCCAGAGAATCTGTTAAAATGAAAGCACCTCATGGACCCATGGGGTGTGTCCTAAAACACCATTCCTGAGTCACGGTGAGTCATATAATCTGTCTTTTCATCCATGGCAAGGTTACTCTTGTAACTATGGAGCTGTGATCAAAGAGAGGGTAGGACTTGTCTTTCCTATATTCTGCTAGGAGGTGATTTTGAAGGGAGAAAAAAGGGTTTTTTTCAGGCTGGGAGGAGATCTGATACTTTTTTTTTTTTTTTACTCACTACATACTGCGGCATGAAAAAGTTGTGAAACCAGAAAAACCAACTGAAGTTTTTGTAGCTTGAGTTTTTCTCCATCTTTTAAGTTTTTGGGGGGAAAAGCTCTCATATATCAGATGTACATGAACTACTAAAAGAAATGCGCAGTGTCTGCTGGGAATTTATCTCATTCTTAGTTCACGGAGCAAAAACAAGACACAGTGGGAGCAGAAGAACAAAAGCTGACGCCTTACTTGTGTAGCGGACTCTTTCACACTTGATTTCCCCTGCCACACATGTGCACTGTTCCACGTTGCGGAGGTGAATTCGTCCCCAAGACTCTCCGATGTCATAATAGCGCAGGTGTATGGTTTCATAGCACTTCTCTGAAGAGCCGACACAACACACAAAAGGCAATAGGTTTGAAATGTGAGAGGTGATTGAAGAGCTTAGTGGACCGTATAGAGCAAACTCTGCTGGCTGAGCTGTGTGACATGCATTCAGAGCGGATGCATGTGGATACAAGTGTTTTTCTTGTGTTTATGTTTTATTGTTTTTGTTAGTGAGTAAGTCAAATGACTTGACATGCAAGGTTGGAACCTATGTGCACATGAGTCACAAGAGATTTTTCCATTTTTCTTTGGCTTCTCTGGAACTAAAGGGGAAATTTCCTCAACAGAGATAAGAGACAGAGGAAGACAAAAAACGGATACAGTTTAAATATTACTTTCCACCATTTTCAACAAAATAATCTCACTCACAGGTCGATTTATGAGCTTTTTCCAGAGCTTTTAACTGATTTCACGGCCTAAATAAGTCCACTGGGTTTACTCGGTAGGCATTTAGTTGTTTCAGTATCATCATGATAACAATTTATTGCCTGTTTCATGAAGACCATGAAATTTGGAAAAAACTAGTAACTACCATGTGGAGTCATTTCTAGAGTAGATTATCTCTTAACCCTGGCGCCATGTTTCCTTTAAACAATATGAACATGATGATAAAATGTGTTGACATGTTTTGAGGGATCTTTTCCTGGCAAAGACTTCTGTTTCCTTCTCTGGCTGTCAGGTGATTGACAGTAAGCAGCCTATTGTGCACATTGATGGGAATACACCCAACTCAAGCGAGCAGAGAGTGTAGTTTGTGACACTAGTTGCTAATACTGAATATGAGACTGAATAAATGGTAAAAACAGAAATGGTAAACACAAAAAAAACATTACACATTGCGTTATACCTTTAACTCATAAAACAATAGTAATGGTCAAGTCTACCTACTCTGCACACAAAGTCTCCCAGAGAAGCCCTCGGGACAGGAGCACTCAAATGTGCGTCTGTGTGGGATCAGCGTGCAGACGCCCCCATTCTGACACGGGTTCACCTGACATGGATCCATGATTCTGCGAGACGTGTGGACGAAAACTGAAACACACCAAAGAGGAAAACCACAATAAGAGGATGAACAAGAGCAAAACGCGGCATCTCTTATAGTGAAATGCTACATTTTCTGTGTCTGAACGAACTTCAGTAAAAACCAACCATCTGGTTGAGTTTTCTCCGGCGCACAGAAGCCCCACTGCCAGTCCCGATCAAAGTTATGAGTAAGAGAGCACCTGCGAGAGAGGAAACAGACACATAGTACAGTCACTAGCAACGCACCTGGATTACAAACTGAAGAAAAATTCACTGTGAAATTAGGGTTGGGCAAAATAACGATATGCACCTTGAGATATGAATTTGTCATTGGGCAGGTCACTGTGGGCAGTTTTGCAAGTCAATGAGAGCAACTCCTTTATGGCAATATTATATGACCAGTGTGTCTGTCCAACACTTTGGTCCAGATTGAAATATCCCAAAAACTATTGGATGAATTTTTTTCATCTTGCGTCGTCATCGTGTCCTCTCATTCCCATCAGCCTCAGCTGTACTGTTTAGTGCTACTTAGCAAACATTAGCATGAAAACAAGCTAAACAAGGACGGTAAACATGGCAAGCATTAAACCTGCTAAACATCAGCATGATGTCACTGTGAGCATGTTAGCATGCTGGTGTTAGCACAAAGCACTGTTGTCCCTAAGTTCATCCTCAGAGCTGCTAGCATGAATGTACACACTTAATCTTTTTAGATGAGTTTTTGCACAGCACAGATTCATATCTGGTTATTTTATCCATTAATAGTTCCTCAACTGATTTTAGTGAAAATGAATTACACAGACATTGTGACATAAAATCCCTTATATCATGATAGATGCTTTTATCTACCCCTGATCTAAAAATCTCTCTGTGATGGAAATGCCCCACTTTTATCAGCCAGGTGAAAAACACTCTCTTTGTAATAACCAACCAGTATTGACTTAACTCTGTCAATCATCCATTCATTTAATCAAAGTGAAGAAATGTCTCCTGCACCGCTCACTGAATCTGCGGTACATAATGGCAAGCATATCTCGACGCTAAGCTCATGAACACATCACAAAAGCACCTGGGGTCATATTGCAGTAACATTATGTGTAGGTGGACAAGAGATGTTGGGCCATATGTAATTGCATACATGTTGCTCCAGCTCATTGGCACCCACCCTTCCTGTCTCAGTTCCAAAGAATGATGAAATCCCCTTGGCAAGTCTGTTTCTGTTTTTTTTTTTTTTTTTTTCCAAAATAAACATCTATTAAAAATAAAAGATTCTGCAGCTGTGCTACAATCAGAAGCAATAAAAATTCAATCATGATGGTTTTAATGTGACAGCTGTTTATAAACCCTTAGGATAAACTGTATGAAGTAGTAAATGTGTTATAAACTTCATCTATATAATCATAGTTTTACAGGATGTTTCTACATGTTATATCACCATAACGCTATAGGTTTGATATCACTGTATTTTGACACAGTTGTGACACACAAATCATTACAAGGCCCATAAATGATTCAGCAATGAGCAATTTATTAAAGACAATTAGCTCATTACCTCATTAAAATTGCATTATCTTTCCCAATGACACTGTTGTGCAAATCCCTCGTCACTGCAAGCTTTAATTATGTGACACTACACACAATTACACATTGCATCAGGGTCACTTTCATCACTGCAGTGTGGTGGAAAATACCAGTGTTTTTATACCTTTTTTTTTTTTAAATACCTGCGCTCTGTGAGATAGTGACGTAGAGAGTTTGAGTGTGTGTCTGAACATAACCGAATATGATGAGGCAGCACATCTACAAGTGTTGAGTTGCCTCTTTTGTGTAATCTGAGTATGTGGTAACTTTATGTGACTACACACACATTAGTGACTGTTTGTGTAACCCAAACAATAAATCCAGACAGGCTGGCTGAAGAGGACTCACCACGGTCTTGAGGACATAATGGTGATGCAGTGATGGTGAATCCTTCCACCCTGACGAAATGGGAATTTACATTCTTTGCCTGTTGTAGTAAGAACTGGCAACAGAGCAGGGGGGGAAAAAAAACAGCTTGTTAGTGACTTTCAATGAACACAAATGGGGAAACACACAAGTTAAATTAGAAACTTCCTCCAAAACATGTGTTTCCCTCTGTATCTCACACACGAATACTGTTTTCACTTTGTCCATGGCTTTCTGATCAGGGACATTTAATCAATTATCCTTTCTTCATACAGATAAATCATGCTGTTAAATGACAGATTACAGACCTGGTACAAGCACTAGCTCCCACATGCTTTAGATTTATGTTGCACCACCAATTTTCTCAGTTCCTCAAGCTGAAAATATATCAGATCCACTGCCACTCCGATGTGCATCCCCCTCCCTCCTTCTTTTTCCTCTAAATTAAACACAGGACTGAAGTAAAAACCTACCTTTCCGGCTCTCCCTCCATGGCTCTTTTGATTCATATCCAGGGACTAATATTCGCTGAAAACAAGGAAGATACGTTATTTTATTGTTCCCTTGCTTTTTACTCACGCTATGGATTTTTTTTTTTTTTTTTAAAGAGACTCGCATAGGTGAGTAGGATGGTCAAAACTTACCGCCCGTGCACTGAAAACACAAGGTAGGAAAAGTAATATAATGTATGCCATCAGAAAAGTTTGCATCGGTTGCTGCCCTGCTGTCCGGAGAAGCTTATTTCCTGAACTCGGGAAGAGGGTCTGTGTCTGTCACGTTATATCTGTCAGTTTCAGAGTCCTCAGCCCGCTTTTGGTCATAGGAAACGTGGGAAATCCTGCAAGTATTATCCTGTCCCTCACAATATTGAGCTGCATTGAGTAAACCCGTTGCGTCATTAGTCTTGTCTCTCTCCGAGGCGATACCCTGGTTGGTGGCTGGTGTTCCCTCGGCACCTTCTCCGCAGACGCCCACGGTTTATCATTGCAAGTTATGACAGAGAGAGAAGAGACCAAAACTTTCCAGAGGCTGAAGCAGAGGCGGGGGTCCGTCCTGTCCCGCCACTGGCACCTTAACATTAGGCTACTCGGTGTGGAGTTACTTTTAGGCTAACACAGTTTTTGTTTCAAGCTGTAATGTCTGGTTGTTCTATATTGTTTTTTTGTTTTTTTGTTTTTTTAAAAACATGCTCCAATAAATAAGTAAATATCTAATGCTGTGGTTAAATTTCAAACTGAGCAAAAATTTACAGTTAATAACAGTTCAGTACAAATTATATCATGAGTTTAGGCTAATGCTAGTTAGGTTGGAAAAAACACTGGCACAAGTTTAGTCAGATGTGCAAATTCTCAGCGGAAATCAGCTAAACTCTCTACATCCAAAACCTAGCCAAATCTGGCACCCATTACTGGACCACAGCCTCTGCCAGAACACAGCCCAGTGTGCCAGCACTTGGCCGGAGTCGGCCCAATTCCCTGGGTTCTCTGAGTCAAAGTGCTCCAACATTTCATTTTACAGAAACATTAGGACATATACTAACACAAGAATGTGAGATGTGATTAAATTAAGCTCATAGAAAATAATTAATGATGTGAGTTCTGAAATAAATCTCAACACACTCATTTGCCGAGAAGTTCCTCTGTCATTCAAAGTAAAAAGATTTTAGACTGAAAATGAAATGGCAAGTCAGTCTGATTATTTTATATATACTATATTCTTAGTGAAGTCTACAGAAAATATAACTTTGTGCAGCTCTTTTTAACTCTTTTAATATTAATTTGTCTATCCAAACTCCTCCAACTTTATGGAGGTGCAGAACTTAATCACTGGCACAAACAAACTACATCAGGGTGGAAGTGCACTGTTTTTCAGTTAATTGTTGCATAATGTGGTACAGGTGTGTCTGCCCTTCAACATAAGTGTCCCAACATATAGTAGCAAAGTAGCTTCCATGAGAACTGGCAGAGAAGCAGAGGGTGGAGGCAGACTAGACATCAAAACATTTACAGGTGGCTTGGTTTAGGGAGTTATCATGATTTTTTTTAGATAAGAGAAAGTCCAGTTATGAGGGTGTATCAAGGATCTGGGAGGAATTACTAATGAAGAATCAATAATGACAGTACCTTTGAAAACAGGGACGAATTAACGGGAAGAGCGTGATAAACCTTATGAGCGTCATGTGTTGTCAGCATTCCAGCAGGGACATGCTGTGTCAAGACAACCTCCACAGTCCCATAATCTAACCTCTAATTTTCACCAGCTGTAACAATCCCTCTCCAGATGCTGGGCTAAAAATACAAAGAGGAGGCCGGACGACTAAAGAGCACATCCACATGGGTTAACCCATCCCCAGGTGAAGGTGGTGTGTTTCCACAGAGGAAATTGTTCAACTAAGACAACTGTACTGTTAATTATTGACAGTTCTGGCTTTGCAAACACATTTAGCTGGTCAGATATGACAACAAGGTCCATTCAGGAATGTGAATGTCTTATGTAAGACTTTGGATTATATAAACTCCGGCAGCGGAATATTTCAAGTATTTTTGACAAGATGAGCTAGAGGTTAGAACAGGATGGTGAAGAGGGTTTCCCCGCTACTAGGAAATACCAGGAGTAATCTATGTACAAAAGAGAAGGGGGGCAGTTTCTTGGAATTACAGCCATAAAAGCTTTTTAATCATTCAACATTTGGACAACCTCAAATCCACCGAAGCAGGAACTACAGGCAATAAAGGTACTGTCATGTATTATCTGTAAAACAGGAAGAAGATACAAACAGGAAATACTTAAATATCCAAGAAAATTGTGATTACCTCCCTTTTGATCCTATAAACAGAATTCTGCTATAACATATCGTCCAGCAACAGTGGGTATCACTTTCTAACAGGTCACACTTTATAAAGCTGAGTCAAAGTTCATTTTCCATCTTGGAAATATGTTTTTATGTTTTCTGTAGTTTGAAAAAAAAATGAACACAAGACCAGTGCAAAGAGCTACTAAGTGGACACTGCGTTAAGCTTTAAGTATTTATAAGTTGCAATTTATAGCTCGAATAATTTTAATTAATATCTCTATTAATAGTTTAGTAGTAATTTAGTAATGCTCTAGAGATAAGTAGTAAATGAAGGAACAACAAATACTAGCTTTTTCTGGAGATTTAAATTACATCTAGTAAAAATCTAATAAGTGGACACTGAGTCAAGATCTTTTAGTCAAAACTTTACAAAGTGTCTATAAATTGCAATTAAAAGCTTAATTGATGGTTAATTAATAATTTAGTAATGCTTTAGAGATCAGGAAAAAGTTGTTAATGAGAAAAATATTTTCTAGCTTTTTCCGGAGCTTTCAACTGCATCTCACAGTCTTTCTCAGCAGAGGACTAGTGGAAAAGGTTAGTAAGTGGACACTGGCTAAAGTGTCAAGTGTCTAGAAATTGTTATTAATAGCTTAATTATTGGTTAATCATTTTGGCTTATGCATATTGTTTGATGATGTAACTCACTTGAGAATTATTTGCAAACAATGGTTTCTAATAAAGCAATACTTACAACTTATAAACAATTGGTAACGTTCATTAGAAAATGGCTCCCAAAAGTGGGCTTTAGACTTCTTCCCCGCTTGTTCTTGGTCTAACATGGCTCATAATAGAACTGCTTTGTGCTCAATTATTAAACTATAACCAAACAAAAATGTATCACTGTCCCAAAATTACAACCAGTACTAAAAACAACAAGAAGACGCCAAAATACATAAGAAATATACAATATCTATCACCATAATGTCAACTGGAAATTGACAGCTTTGTACATGCAGCCCACGGTTTGACTGATTCTCTTTCAGAAGACAGTGCCTCGGGCTTTAAAAGTGCAGCAGTGGGGGTTCCCTTTAGACAATGGTGGCCTTGTAAAGGTCTGTCTTGCAGTCCTTGCCCTCTGGTGGACTGCGGCCGTTTTGGGGCATCTGGGCGTTCCTCATCTTGCTCTGGCACTGCCGCAGCTCGGCGACATAGCCCTGGAAGCTCAGGCTGAGTTCAGAGTCCTCTCCCTGGGATGTTTCCAGTGTTCCTTCCTCTAGATGCACACCCTCCACATCCATCACCTCCTGGCCGGTCTGTGCAGCGTCGGCTCTGTCGGCAGGTGATTTGATGTTGGGAGCTGCTTCTCTTCTTCTCTCTGTGGATTGGAGAAAAAGAAAGACACAGAAGATTTAAGATCAGCTGACACATTTGTGCATCGCAAGTTGTCTATTTGAATATTTATGACTGCGGTTGTGAAAAATCGCAAACAACCAAACATTTGCATTCACAGATTTTTTTTTTGCTACAAGGGGGCAGCAGAAAGAGCTAAACACAGCATTTACATATTATCACATTATAACCAAACATGTTGGCAACATGTTACTGATCTTCACCGATCTCCAGCAGATATGAGCAGCATTATTTTGTTCATTGCGACATTCATGTGTTTATGTCCACCTAATATTCACTCTACTATAAGCTCTGTTTTGGTCACCACCAACTCCTAAAAAAAATTTGCTAGATGCTCCATCATGTTCACCAGCTAGTTGGTTGGTGTTGAGCAGGTAGCCTAAGTATCCCTGAGCCTTTCTGCTTATTGCTGCTGGAACTGGGGTTGATGAGAGTGGAGTTTGTCGGCCAGGAAAACAAAAAAAGAGCTAAAAACAAAAAGCTAAAACTGGAAAAAAGCGGCACAGAGCCAACGCTGCAGAACTTGGTGTGATTTCCTGTAGGTTTGTCACATTCCATGTAGTGATTTGATTTCTTGTTTATATAGAAAACGAGTACAGATGATTAAATAAGCAAATAACGACAGACAAACAATAAAAGCAACTAAAAATAGACACAAAACACCCAACTATACTTGGCCTTCGCTTCATCCCGGTGCATCTTTGACTCATGTGGACCCGCAGGCGACTGAGGGATGACTTAACTCTACACTGCTTGATGACCAGATGCTGTGCATGACTATATTAAATTTCAGGGGATCCAAGAAATGGAAACTTTGTCACCCATCGCGTGGGTGCACATACATTTTAACTCTGGATCACTTCAATGAACACATCACTTTAATGCGTTTGTATAAACTGACAATTGTATAGTTGTGTAATCTGGGCAGCTGTGCTCAAGACAATCTTGATGACTGCTGCTTTTGCTCAGACTTTCATGGGAATTCATGGGAAAGAATGTAATGAAATTGAACCACAATGAAATGTATTGATTCACTGCCTTGTGACGTAGTATATTTCAACATTACCACCTGTACTTCATCTCAAACTGTTCAGAGCAGCATGACCTCATCAGACAGCCCCGCCCACTAAAAATCACATCGTTGGACTTGGGGGCTCTAACATTACCCTGTTCTGATGTGAGTGCACTCGGGGGGGGGGGGCTAAAAGCCAAAGTTTCCGGGATGCTGGCATTATAGTTATGATGAGTGATAAACTCTCCACTTGTCATGTGAACCCTGTGGCCCCACAGACTCTAAACACAGAGGCCCAAGTGACTCAAACGCAGCACTTCAACACAGAGACTCTGCTGGCTGTGATTCACTGCTGTCCAGTACATATGTAAACACAGCCTGTGAGCTCCAACAGCTGACCTTACACAGACCCCTCGGCATATCGACTGGCTTGTAACAAAGTATAAGGTGAACCAAAGTGAACCCCCGGCCAGGAAACACAATGAGCTTTCAACGCCTGCGAAGGTTGTGTGTGGAGTTGAAGGACATGATGCTGAGTTGTGTTTTTATGGACAAAGTCACGACATGGGTCAAAATCAGAAATTATTCAGACCTCTTGTCACAACTTGTGCTGTATCAACACAAATCTCCGTCACAGGGTTTTCCGCAGGATGTGATGTGTTGGTGACGGTATGTAGAGCTGTTAGATGACACATTTGATGAATTGGTGTTTAATGAATTAAGAAGAAAATAGTACTTAAAATAATAGTAATTAAAAATTTGGGAGGGATGGAAAAATCCTTTGTCATCTAAAATAAGTTGCTATTGTGAAGAATGTTTAGTTTTATGTCTTCGGGCTTACAAATATATCTTCAGATGCTCACAGCTCATAAAAATATGCGACCTTAGGAAAGGGGTCAAAAGTAGGATGGCAACTTATTTTCATGGTCAGTCAGTCAGACATTAACATTCTTGATTAAATATTTATAATTAATGTCTATAAAATGTCCTCACCCTTCAGTTCCTAAAACCAAAGGTGATGTCTTTAAATATCATATTTTTGTTGACCAACGGTCCAAAACCCAAAGGTGTACCGTTTACAACCACATCAGCTTCAGTCACAAGCCAACAAGCCCCTTACTGTTAAGCGTCAACAGGTAAGGCGGTTGAAACACTATCCCAGCATGCCAAGGGAAACACCCGCGACAGGTTTCCAGTTTGTCACAGGGCGACACAGGACATTACTGCTGTGAGGAGAATCCTCTTGTAACCAGAGCCACCATGTCAGCAGTTTTTGTATAAAAACATAAAAAACATGTTGTAGTTTTTACCATTAATGGTGATGAAAGAGCTAGATGAAGTTATACATTTTGGAAATAGGGGAAAACCAAACTCTCATGACCCCAGTGCAGTCTTTTTATTTTAAGTTCTATGAATCACACATCTTCTCTTCTCTGCCAGCCAGCATCTCACTAGAATAGATGTTTTCCCTTCATTATTTACCTATACTTTTCTAATGGATGTTTTTCATATCCAAGCTTGCTGACTGCGCTGTGACGTGTAAAAATCACTTCTTGACACATGCATTTTACATGGCCACGTCTCCTGTGGCGAGTCTTGTTCACAGCCATGACAACAGCAGCAGGGAGCTGAGACAGACCAGCCAGACTGGAACGGACCCAGCTACAGTCCTCGCTGAGGCTGGCTGCCAAAGATCTGCGTAGAGTCCTCCTCTGACCGCCAGATGGATGATAAGGCTGGCCCGGGGTCAGCGGCTGCCAGCTTTGAGAGCTGATGCAGGGACATGAGGAGGAAGACAGTGACACTGGCCTGAGGGAAAATTGAGCCATATGGTGCCTCAGGTGCACACTGCTGAAATGGAGCCATTACAGAGCATTTTTTGGTGATAGCCCAGCCATAGATAGATGTCCCATTTACAGTGAGGAATCCTTTAATATTCTCTGTATGAGCCAAACTTTCACTCTGAATTACAACTGCAGCAGCTGGCTGCTGAGAGGACGAGGAAAAGCAGTGTTAGTGTAATCTTTGCTACAATTTACTTCTTATTTATACAAAGGTAATTGAATCCTGCAACTAGCTCTAGTTTATGAAGAGGTCGGCTCTATTGTTGAGTAAACTAAACACTCCATGTATTGAGTTCAAATCAGTTTCATATGAATGGAGTTACACTGTGTGATGTCACCCCCTAGTGGACGTCCTAATCCCTACAGACCTGATGCTTGGCAGACTGAGAAGTGATTACAGCCATGATTAAGAAATGATTGAAGCAACACAGAGCAGCAGTTTTGGTCCTCTGGATACAGAACACAGTCCGTCTGGTTTTGATTTTTACAGTCTAATCAGGGGGCTAATTAACACCTGATACAGCGAGTGAACGCAGTAAACTACCTGTAGAACAGAAAGACTCTTAGTTCTGAGGAACGTGGCTCAGAGACACTGATTGGGATGTAAATGTTTATACTTACTCATCCATACAACACCACATATGAGCAACAGTCACAAAGCCTGGTGTTAACCTGTTCGCTTATACAGCACTTTATACCTTCTGTTCTTGTGCTTGTAAGTTTTAAATAAAACTGAATTGAGGAACATGTTGATCCACCTCAGCAGCAATTATATCTGTTCCCTTGGAACAGCAGAGGGCGTCAGTCTAACAGTAATACACAAACTGGAGAGGGTCTGCAGTGACTGAATCAAGCAGATGAGGAGGAGAAATGCTACTGGACCATATTTTTTTTTAACTGGCCTTGTTTGGACTGATAGTTTTATTCTTTTTCACTTTGTCTCTTAAACACATCATTTTTTCCTGCGAGCGTGACTTTCCACCCAAATTCAAACTTAACAACTTCGTGAAGTCACTCAAAAGTGGTCAAATGGAGGCGTTGCTGCGTTTCCATGTTTGCAGATCCCAGCACAGACCAGCCACACCATGGTGGCAAACTGTAAAAAATATGGCTGTACTGAATCATAGCTACATTTCTATTTTAGCAAGTTGGAGAGACAGAGAGAAATAGGCTGGGAGATAAATGAAAACCAGTAGTGACAGTTTCTATCTGTAGCTCAGTCAACTCGTGGATAAGGTTACCATGGCGCCCGGTGGTGGGAAGAAATCAGGCTCATGCGTTTAGCAGCCAGAAAAGAGGAGCGAGCCTGTAGCGGAGCTGAAAGGCTTCGATTCTTCCTCATCATCTTGTTTTACATATCACCTTTCATTTAAACCAAGTTATCAACACAAGGCAGTAAAGTCAGAGTGAACATGTCCGAACCCCTTTGATTAAGTGCTTTGAAGTGCAAGATACTCATCAAAAGAGCATTTGGCTTTGTTGTTGGGAAATATGTTGAACGTAATTATCTTCTTTTTTTGTAGAGTTCACAGTGTTTCAAAAGAGGCTTCCTGGGATTTTCTTTAAAGCCAGAATCAAAACATGTTGTCTCTAATTGGATATTTCCACACACATACACACACACACACACACACACACACAAACACACACACACATACACACACGTGCAGAGAGAGTTTCTGACAATGTCATATCTACTGTACAAGAAACCAACACCATCACCAATCAGTTCACCACATGATTGTGTATCTTAAAATCTCAGAAACACACAGTCGAGGAGTGGGAAAAATTACATGTCAAGACGGGAAAGAGAAAATGAAATCCATCTGCAGAAGATGATAATTTTCTTGCACTCCATACAGAATGAACTAACACTTCAGCAAGCTTTGAAAACACAAGTTTAACAGGAGACAGACTCAAGAGATCCACAATGCCACGCTAAAGCTACACACAACAGAGCCGTGACCCCATAAAAAAAACACAAACGAATCACCAAGCAGGTAGACCAAGCAACGTTTAACAAGACCACACAAACACACCACAATGATCAATCTGAGCAGAAAACACACAGCAAGCAGAGGTACCCTGAAACTAGTGCACACAGAAAAGTACACAAAGGAGTGGGAGCTGATGAGAGCAGGAAGCTACAAGACAAAATAAAACCGAGCTAAAGGAGAACGAGAGAAGGCATGCGGAGGCGGAGAGGTGGTGGTAGAGGAGGAAGAGGAGGAGGAGAGGAACTGAGCTTACAAACGTGTAAAAAGACAGACGAGAGTGATTTCCAATTCTAACATTTATTAGATCTACTCAATCACAGGTACAGAGTTTATTGGCAGTGATTATCTACAACAGGCATCTAGAGAGGGAGTGAATGACCCAGATAAAGAATGACAGGCAATTCAACAATGTCACCGGTGCTAAGAAGCACTTGTCCTTCAGTGACTAATTATTTTCACCATTGCTCAAATTGCTAGAGCAGGAGCTGACACCATTTAATGACTCACCGGTTGTAGAGAGTTGCGTAAGAAATGAAAAACCGTTTTTGACACTGACATTGTTGAATTGCTCTTAACTAGAGGTGGTGGGATGGAGAGGAACACAGCATTTGTTTTGTAATGACTGTTTAGCATTTGCTGGTCCAACACTGGAAAACAATGGGTCTGGCTTGCTACGATGTTTTCTAATTGTACATGATGAAGCCATAATGCCAGGAGACACAGCTGCTCATGTCATGACTTTCAATTGTTCAGTTGCTCTGAATCATAATCCTCAGTACAACATTGACTGACTACAGTACTGTCAAATATTGATCATTAATCTGTATGCATTATGCATATATTATTAATATTTATAAGCTCTGCAATCAGTTACATCAGCAATCTCATGCACCCAAACCTACAAAATAAATTCTAGATATTTTAATGGAATGAACTCATTCCAGTCAGATGGAGAGCCCAACAATTTGTAGCGTGGGAAGTGACATCCAAGTAAACGTTACTCACTGAACAAAATATACACATCACTATTTACACGATGACTGGGTGTAATCAAGATCAATCACACACATGCTTTGCTATGTTTAATAAAACAAATCAATTGAAATGATTGGCAAACTGAGAGAGAGTCAATATCAATTTGTCATTAAAGTGCATCAGAGTCAGTGTAGAGGGAGTTTTATCATGAAGGAGGTTTGGGTTTAGACCATCGGAGAGAGAGCACACATGCACATACGACACACACGCAAACACACCGAGTACTGGTTTATTACACTGTAGAAATACCTGAACTCGACTTTCCCTCTCCACCTGCGTCTTGAGACTGGGAGCAGGGTGGTGGTGGAGTGAAGTTGGCTTCAGGCAGGCTGCTATCGAAGGACGGCATGGGGGACGGTGACGGAGGCAACAATGTGCTGTTTGGGCTGTTGATGTCACCCTCACCCACAAGTGTCAGGTCACTGTGGGCGCCCTCCTCCACGGTGCGGAGGGTCGGCCGGGTGTCTGAGGGCCGGGATATAGGGGACAGGTGGGTGCCGAAAGTCGGGTGGCGGGGAGGGGGCAGTAGGCACCGCCTGTTTCCGGAGTGTCCATTGGCACTGGAGCTGAGTGAGGAGTCCAGGCTTTCCGAACGAAGGCTTGAGGTGAGAAGCCCCCGCGAGGAGACGCCGTTCTCTCGGCTCTGTTTTAAGGAGTCAGGAGTGGAGCAGGCCAAGTCAGAGGAGACGGAGCAGGAGGAGGTGGGTGGGGTCAGACGCAGGAAGTCAGGAAGCACCAGGTCTTCTTTACTCAGGAGTCCGCGCTGGTCGTTGGCTCGGGTGCTTTGTGCCCGGCTCAGCAGCTCAAAGAATTCTGCAAAACACATCAAACAAGTTCTCTCACTTAAACTTTCCAAGTAGCTGAGCACCTGACAGAAAAGGATTAGTTTAGTTTAACATGCAGCGTAGCACCCTCACACCTGACAGAGAAAATAACCCTCTAAAGCTGCCAGATACCAGTTAGTCCTGAGGCAAAGCAAAGCTAAGAAATCCACCACAAGTAAAAAACAAAGAGAGAGAAAGAAGGAAAAGGGGGATTTACCTTCAGCTTCATCTATATTAATCTTTTTCTGTTTTCTCTTTTCCCCTGGGAGTGCTGAGTCTGGTCCACTTGATCTCACAGAAAAGTCCTTTGGTGTTGACCTCTCATCTCCCTGCAGATGCAACAATAACAATGCACTCTGTTAGGGGATGGAGGGATGGGGAGGGTGGAAGTTGAAGGGGGAGGCTAAGCAAGCACCCTACTGAGCAGAGTGTCCAGATTTACTGAGACCATCATGTAAAGATGAGACTGGACCATCTGTTGCCTCTGTGTCTTTACTGACCTTGCCAGTATCTACACCAAGTATGATCTGCCTACATATGTTGCAGTAACGCGAGCATGGAAAACATGAGTGAGTGAGTCAGCCACAGGCAGTGTTAGGGCAAAGAATACAAAAAAAAAAACGGAAATAAACACCAACTGTTGGCTTAGGATTGGCTACATGTTAATAAAGATTTGTGTGGGCTGCTATTAAATGAATGTGAATGATGCAGAAGCAGCACAGCAATAGAAAAGGACAAAACACCACATCTGAACTTTTTAGCACAATGTTAAATGAGAGTGAAGATGTTGTGATTACTTACTGTAGCAGAAAAACTCCTAGAAGGAGGGTGGTTCTTTAGGGAGGAAGACTTGGATTTGTCTATGTGAGATAGAGGAACAGAGAGAGAGAGAGAGAGGGACACATGAATTCATCAGAATGAAAAACAGATGACGGTGAGATAGAAGGACACTTAAGACATAAGAGACATGTTCTGCAGAACTTGAATATATTAATCAATGAAATAAGAGAGGTGGACATGATTTACATTTGGCAGTTTAACATTGGTATGTTCTTATTTTTTGTCAGTTTTTAATATTTGGTATTAAATATAAGTTTACGATGTGTAGATGGTCTCACCTTTCCCTGAAGCCGGGTCTACTCGATCCAACACAACTCGCAGGCCGTCCAAACTGGATATGGGAGCACCCAGATCCAAAGGCTCAGTTTCTCCGCTCTGAAACAGAAAAACAATTTGATGGTGAACGTGTTAGTACCTTCACCTGTTTTGCAAAAGTCTACATGTGTTGCTGTTTAATACATCTTAGCATATGGTTGTGATCTGAGTGCACGAGCATTCGCTTAATTTATAAACCATCTTTGAGCTCTGGTCTACTGTATAATACAGTTATAAAGCCTGGAAACCCGCAGGACTAAAATAAGTCATCTGGCAGGGGTTTAGGGGAGGAGTAAAAGAGTCGGCATGTTTGAGGAATGTCGTCATTCTTAATTATATCCCTGGTGCTCCATCTTCAGAGGCTGGGCTGAGTCAGAGTGCTAACCACCGTGTAGAGATGGAAAAGGATGCGGTCGCTTCCCTCCCCTAACCATGATACTCCACCCTGTGGCACTGTCACACACTGCACAGGCTGCTCTCTGGACACACAGGGGCTTCAAACACATTAAGGCATTGTAGCCACCGGGGATGACTTACTATTTTGGCCACAAGATCACTGAGGTGGAGGCCATATTTGGCCACCACGGGACGTAGGACCTCAGTGACCGGTTTGGTAGGTTTGGCTTTCAGGCCCACAGAGCGGTTAATGGGCACCAGGTCCAATCTAAGAGCAGATAAAGAACAAAAGTAAATATCACAGCATTAAAAACAGACAGAAAATGTGGAATTTGGAGATGAAATTGACAGAGCCAGTCGAAGTTTGATTAAATGTTCATACCTGAACAAGGTCCGCTTCTCCATTCTCAGGTCTCGTGAGCTGAGGGTCATGCAGTCTTGGTCCAACACCAAAGGCTATGAGAAAAAAAGCATGAAAGTTACACATTGGCAACACATAAATCCCAGTAACAAACCCAGAAAACTTCATAGTATGACATCTTTATGCAGAAACTAAAAGACACTTTCTCTGCTTAAATCTTTTCAATTTACTTTTGTTGAATTCAGATTAAGTTCTCACAATGACTACTTATAAAATAAAGCATGTTTAAATGGTAAGTGTAGTCACAGAGTATTATCAAAGTTTGATTTGTAATAAACAGAGAGCTGAGTCAATTGACTCGAGAGGTGCTTGCAGAGGTCCTCTGCTTCCTGATCTATTAGCAGCAGATGTTCTTTTCATTTGTCAGTAATTTGTTGGCAACGTCTGGCTCCCTCACCTTCTCTCCTCCCACCAGGAAGAGGTCGACGGCCGCGATGTTGACACTAATATTGAGACAGAGATCTTGGAGGACGTCCCTGATGGAGGCTCCGGGCCGGAGCGTGATAGAGGAGCAGGAACCGTTGGGCAAAATCACGTTGCAATGTTTAGGGGACCGTTCCCAGACTCCGACTGAGTGGCGATTATCAGACTATGGACAGAAGATTAAAAAAGAAAAGATTCAAAGGGTGAATTTAGTAAAAAAGGGAAGGGACTTTAAGTGTTACACAGATTGAGTTGTACTTGTAGCTACAGTTTTTCTTTACTCTCTGATTTATTCCATCTAAAAAAAAAAACAACAACTCTGACCTATAATGATGTATTCACCAGACACTGGGCTCTGTGTTGCCATGGTAATCTGTCCAGAGGAATCTTACCTCAATCTTGCCGGCAGAGCAGGAAGTCGCCATCTCCAGGCTGGTACCGGACGACAAGGAGCCCTGGGACTCCCTCCGCCCATTACTGCCCCAGTAGTCTGCTCAAAACAGCATGGAGTTGATGATAAGAAATACTAGTAACCTACTGACATTACATGGCACTCACAGTATTTGACACCAATACAGTGTTAAGCTATAGTATGACTAATATCACTGTTTTTGATTTCTGATTTCTTGCCACCACAAAATCTTGGCAGGCAAGAAGGAGTATGTCATCAAACAAGATATGTGAGTAAACAGTGGATGTTTCATTAAATTTAAGTGCAGCTACATTCAAATAGACATGTTATTAAAGAATCAGTGTGAAATGTATATTAGCTTATATTTAGCAAGAAAGGAAGCTCACGTTTAAGACGATTTCTCTGCTGAATTTTTGACTGAAAATTGTGATCTACAATATTATAATTTGTATACCTGTAGGATTACTTGTGCTTTCAGACTTTATTTACTGACAAATAAATGAAAAGGTGTCTTAAATAATGTATTTCACAAAGCTTAAAAGTTAAAAAAAAATCCAAAAATGACATTTTAGTTGATTAAAAATCACCACGTTTATATTTGCCAGCTTTGAATGCCAGCTCTTTGTGAATAACACTGTCTCAACTGTGTCAAAATGCCAGAGTTGCAACAAGTATGTTTTTGTCAGCGCACCAGTGGGAACACTTTGATCACTGCAGGGCAGCTGTGTTTCTACATGCCTCCTCTGCGTGTAGCTCATGGCAACCCTGGAGCTGGCAGCGATTTGGTGTCTTGTTCAAGGACACTTCAGCACTTTGGAGGTTTGTGTGTTGCAAAAGCAGTGGGGATCTTTGTAACGAAAAAGGCAATAGTCTTGTTAATTAATTTCTCACCGAGGTTAATATCTCCAATTTCCTTCTTTTTTGGTCCTTTTCCAAAGCTCCTGTTGCGGGACCATGAGAAGAAGATCCCGCGTTTCTTATCAGCGCTTTCATCTCTGCTGTCTTCATTTGGCGACCTCCCTGACCTCTGCTTTCTGGCCTCCTGTGGGATGGAAGAAAAGCAATATGTACTTAACCTGTCAAACTGACCTGATGATCACCCATATATTTCCATCACTTGTCCCTTTAAAACAGTCTAAATCTCTAGTGGCACCTTTTTTGGAGTGGAAAGGGTGGAGCGGTCAGAGCTGGCACTGTGTTTGGATGGCGCAGGACTACAGGGGATCTGGTAGGGGTCTGGCAATGGCTGACCATCCACTTCAGCACGCATACACTCCTGGTAAAGGGAGGACTTGAGGAATCGGGAATAGCTGTCAAACTTCATCAGGTTGAAGATCTGGAGATGTGGAGAAAGAGGGAGGTGATTGTTAGTGAATAAAAAACAGGGGTGATGAGACATAAGGAAAGAGGTTTAGTGAAAGTGAGAAAAAGAAAATGAGAGGACGACGTGAGATGCACAAAAAGGCAGGATGGGTAAAAAAATTAGGGAGTGAGGAGGAGAAAATTAAACAGACAGAAACAGAGACGAGAGACAAAACTACTAGTGTTAACATATGGTTACAGCTGATGTTATGACAGGTGTCTTAACAGTTAACATTTTATCATGCTCATGTGCAAGTTGAAAATATACAGATCTTTAACTGCACGTCTATGTGTCTGTGTGTACAGTATGCCCTAGATTCTCTGTGGGTGTATGCCAGTTTGTGTTTATCTCTTTGGTAAAGCCTCAGAGCCCTTTCGTAAACAAATCCAGATGGCCACCAAAAAATCCAATATGCTTGTGCAAAGTGACTAAAGGCTAGATGAGAACAAGCCCCCTACTGCACACACAGAATGCCACCTAATAATACTGTCTAGAAAAATGTCTTGATCTTCAGCACCACATTATTTATCAACCAACAGATTGTGCAATCTTAATAGAAGAACTCCACTGCTGTCTGTTTGTACCTGTAGCTGCTGTGTCTTGAACATGTCGGGCCGTGGGGAGGTGAGGACGTCATCAGCCAGTTGGGCTTGGCTGTCAATATTGACCGGCATGGTGGCCTTGCTGGACAGGAAGCTGTTGTAGATCTCTCCTGCTCTCTGGGACAGCTGCATGAAAGAGGTTTGGTGATGCAGGATTACAATCACAACTGCAGAAAATTATGTTGCTACGTGTCTTCTTATCTAATCATGTTTTTCACAAAATTAATTGGGCATCAAGACGTGGATTGGCTCTATGCTATGAAGCAGTGGTTTCAAATCTGAGGGTCAGGGCCCACAAATGGGGTCACAAGATGAATATGAGGGATGAGAGTTGATTAAGAGGCTGAAAGAAGGTCAAAAAAATATTTCTTTTATAACAACTGACTCATTTTAAACCTATGACGAGGGGTCATCTTTATTGTTTCATTTATTGTGTTTTAAGTTGGAAGACACTGCTGTTCTGAGTAAGTTTTTAACCATGCCAGGATCTGTCAGTTCACACTGGACCACAGTATACTAAGAACAAACTCCTAACTGCACATGTAGCTGCATACTGTGGACTTACCTGCTTTTTATCAGTTGCAGGGACATGACTGAAGTATTCACAGGCCTGCCAGAACAAGATATTCTCCTCACTGAATTCTTTCTTGAGAAATTCCTGTGGAAACATACAGTCCAAAAGTTTCTATATGATCTCAAGCTGGTCATCACTTTCTCATCTTCCCTGTGTTCTTGCTGTTGTTGAGACCAGTAGTGAGGCCAGAAATTATTGGGTGTTATGTTGTGAACAAGATTGGTGTAAGTGTAGGCGCAGGATGGTGTAGGCGAGTGCAGCTCTGATCGGTGCTGAGGGAAGGTGAGGAGCGAGGTGGTTCTGGGACGCCAGAACTTAAGGTTGAGCGTTCTGAAGGTGTTGTGGGCTAAATTCAAACACACATCTTTTATGTGGGAGGTATGTTAACATAAATGCCTGTACACACTAAGCTGGGTATTGAGAATTGCTCCTGAGCTTGAAGCTTTTCCAAATACAACACACAAAACTTTATCAAAGATTCACAATGTGGGATGTGAAAAATGACTGTGACAATAATTTAATGCACAAGGGAAAGTGGTCTAACATTTATATGAATATGTTTGAGAATGCAGCCCCTAATTTAAGTCAAAATGGGAAACCATCAGCTAATGCAGAAGCACCAGGCACAAATAAAAGCAAATGTAAAACTGCAGAGAATAGTTTTCTTCATAAAGATGGTTTTGCTACCAACATATTTTAGTTTTTTTCCTATTCTAATAACATGCTTTGAATCAAAACAAGGGTTCAGTAAAAACCAGAGTCAATGAGCAGAATCAATAAAATCCAAACAACACATAACTGTACTGCTCTGCTTTTCATGTCAGCTGTTTTTTGACAGCACTTTTGGAGAGAAGGGATTCAGTCAACTTGAGAAACTTTTTCCCATCTTACCGAGAAGTAGCGCACGCCCTCTGGATCCTGGAGGAGACGTTCAAAGCACGCAGCCCAGCTGGCCACACGCTGCTCTGGAACTCCTCGATGGCTGCCTGCTCCTGGAAGACTGCCATTACTGTTCAGACTGCTGTGGCTGCAGCATCCCTGCAACGGGAGTCCACTGTAGTCTGCAAGACGGGGAGAGCAAGGCAAAGGTTAAAAGGGTCTTATGTTAAAGAGTAATTTCAGCCAGAGGGAATATTAAAGCTATCATTCAGGTTGCCCTCTTGTGCCTTTTAATATTCCTGTGGATTTTTGTATTTTCCTTCTTCTTGACCCTTGTACATTCATTAAAGTTGTTTATATGTTAATTATTGAGAAGGCAATCTGCAGCACTGCTGTAACTGAGCTCTAAAAAAGGCCCACACAAAACTAGGCATGTCTATGATTTTTGGTAAATAAACGTGATGCAGCAAGCAAAACAATAAAGAGGACAATTTTTTGTGGGAACAAAATCAGATTCTGGTTCTAGTGCTAAAGTTACTACCTCAACTACAACCTAAAACTCACTACAATCTTTTCAAAAGTTTAGCTTAAGGAAATTGTGAATAAAGGAACAGGCACATAATGTGTCAGCAGCATCCAAGTCTTGAACAGATATAGAAAATGGATTGGACTAAGGGAGTTGAGGGAAAGCTAATGGCTCACTACTATACCCTTTGGAACAAAGGGAGACACAGCTGATTAAGGGGAGAAAAGGAGGGAGTGGGTGAGGATCCAGGAACTCGTGGTCAACTAAAGTGGGGGCCTCAGCCTGCACAGTACCTGCAATCATGACAGCAGATGGCCACTTTAGAGCTGTGTGCCGACCAATCAAGGAGCGCACAATAAAAACAAAAAAAACAAAAGGATCACAGTTGGATTGGTTACGGATACACAGAAGCTGCTGTTATCCTGTGGATATTTAACTGGTTGGCATGGGCAACTACTCTTAACAGACTTTATCTTTGCTGTTAAGAACAGAAATGTTAGTTTTGTCAAGTAAGGTGCAGTACTGCATATCTTCATCTTGCCAAAACGCCTGCAAAAGGAGTAGGGTGGATTTACAAACAGGTGTAGTTGTGAAATAAAGGCAGTGTAAATAGTACATGACATCACTGACAGCCTCACAGTGAGGTCTTTGAGATTATGACTAATGTGGCCGCTACATGACCTTTGAAAATTTAGTTCATCCTTCTGTCTTAGCATTTAGCTCTATTAAATCAGTGAATGTGCCATTAAAATTGCACAGGCTTTAAAGTTAAGTATGGCAATTTGAAGCAAAGTGAATTTTCTTTTCAACAATAAGGGCAAATGACCGCTTTCCCTGTGTCACTTGGAGCCTCTGTGTACAGTTTGCTGACAAGCCATTTGTTTGGACTTGGTTTAATGCATCAGGACTGAGGCTTTGGGATCCATGTTTACCACATTGTGTGCAGCTCAGTTAATGAGATGGCTTTAGAAAGCAAACAGCCCTGCATGTCTGATCCACATCCACAGTGAAAGGAGCGGAGCTGCACTCCTCACCGCAGCCTTGGTCAGCCTGTTAGCAAATGTTATTAAAACTGCTATGAAAGGGAGGCCCAGACAGCATGCACGCTAGCACCGACTGTGACCCAAAACACACTCAACAAACATCCTTTGTTAATGAGGCATGCTGCCTACAGTGAATACACCGTCCCCACCAAAAGTCTTTTTTATAAGACCACTTTATTGAGCAACACAAAGCTCTGTGTTGAGGGTAGAAAATGAGAATTAAAAATGCAGACACAAATAAATGGACACAGCGCTGCAAGCTAGACAAGATGAAAAGGTCTCACTATGTTAGTAAAAATGGGATGATTAAGAAAAAGTTTCAAAATGTAAAACCTTCTATTTACTTCAGTTTTTAACATCAGAAACAGTTCATAACATAGCTTTAAATATCAAAGGTTGGTGTCTAGGTGTTATATTGTTTTGTAAAGAATAGTGTTTTAAAGGTAGTAGTAAAGGAATGGTACTCACCGCCATCTGAAGAAGCCACAGACTGAAAGAGAACAAAGAGAGACATGAGTGAGAGGCTGCTCTCATGACCTCCTGTGCTGAGACAAGAGACTGAAGACTGTGCTGATAGCAGTGTCTCTCCAGGCATCCAACCGGTAGCTCTGAGGTGTGTGTCTTTGTGGTTTGTACTTGAGAGTGTGTGTGCTCTACTGGGACACGTTAATTTGTAAGTGGGCGGACCCTTGGCCGCTACCAAACACAGCTGTTCACACCTCCACACCAGGACCCACCCCTCATTTTATATCATCCACACACACACACACACACACACCACACACACATCCACACACCACACACACACACCACACAACAACACACACACACACACACACACACACACACACACACACACACACACACACACTTACTCACACAGCCCTGATGTGTGCATTCCTGCTAACTGTTGTCACAAAGATCAGAGCTCATCAAGGCAGAGCTACTATGAGAGGCCATCACTGGCTGTAATGGTCCTCTTTTCACTTGCTAATTCAGGGAATGAGTGGTTTATGTCTGTTGTAGAGGTTCCTGAATAAAGGGCAAACAGTACAATCACCTCTAGTGGGCATGAAAATTTCACGGTGACAACTTTCCATAGCTGGGTGTAATTATAGCCAAGAAATACTGCTCAATAAAGCATCACCCATGTCTGATCTCATCGCTGGCTCAACAAATATTTGCTTCCAATTCTCAAATTAGTAATCACTGCCTCAGCATTGGACTTCTCTAAAACCTGTTAGCATAATTTTAGTTAGGCTAATAAAGAGAGGTTAATTCCTGAGCTGTGAAGCTGTCGTCATAAATAAATTTAAATGCAGGGGAGGATATGAGAGGCACATCTTCGGGCTGGTCCAAGAACACTTGAAAAATTCGGTGCGTTGGAGGATTCATCTGAAAAGGGGAGACTATTTCCAGAAGAGTGTTTTCTGAGCTGCCACTTCAAAGTGTGAATATTCAAGGCTGATAATACATCTAAACAAGGCTCTTATTGCCAGGCTTTGAGCTTCAGGTGTGAGCAGTACACACAGTTTGTGCCTCAGTGAATTGCATAATACTGCGATTGTAGAGATGCAATATCATAGAAACATAAACAAAAATGATGGATGCTGATGTGGCTGGTTTTAAAAGTGAAACATTAAATGAGGTTTCTTTCTCCAGTCTGACTTTATAAATCGTTATAATTCTAATAGGCTGTGAGTTTTGATTTAATTACTAGTTTTCAGCTTGATCAATCGGCCTTAGAACAAGTCCAGACATATACTGGGCCAGCCTATTCAACTGGCCATCTGAAGGCAGGGGATGTAGTCGTCGTCATGAGCAGTGATGTGACGCGTCGTTCCATTTTGGGAGCAGCCACATGCAAAAGCTCTATCAGACACAGACCTCTAAAACCACTAATTGTCCGTCATAGCCTCTTTACAACTCTGTTGCTGCTGAGTCCAACCCCATATAGTCAAACACCCAAAAAGCCACCCCTTCTGTGGTGGCCAGCATGTGTACAGTAATCATGGGTGGGTAGGGATTGAAGACCAACATGAAGCCGAAACAGAGGAGAGAGAAAAGAGAGAACACCCACTCCATCTGTCTGCCCCCTTGAATCTAAAAACAGCTAAACCTCTAACCTTAAATACATAGAGTGTTGCGACTGTGGTTCATTTTAAAGTACAAGACAGACATCACCACACTGTGACATAAACTTTGACCAAACAAAAAGGTCTCCAGACTGAAACTGTTGTCAATGCTTTCAGGAGCCAATACTGCTTAATTTCACTTTTTTAGATGACAAATATGATAGATATCTTCTTCTTCTAAACTTAGAACTTCCGCACATAAGAGTGGGAGAGTTACTTTAAATCATACACACTTGTGTCAGAGGATAATTATGTCAATGACAAAATGTCATAGGTTGAGTAAGCATGCCTAAGCCTCTAAATGAATGAATGAAATATTGCAAAAACCCTGAAACTGATCTGAGCGAGGTGCGTCACATAATTTATTAGATTCTATTCGCCAGTCTCAAAAGGGGAAACTAAACAATTATTTTAATGCGTTTGGAAACTGTGAAGAAAAACACCCAGTCCATGACAACAGTTCAATTAACTGATTTTATCCAACTAACAGTCCAAAACCCCAAAGATGCGGTTTGGATTTGAGTTTACAAAGATATTCAATTTACAATGGCGTAAAACAGAGAAAGCCAGCCTAGAGAAACAACAAATACTTGACTGTTTGTAGCCTGATAGAGACCTAAAATTATAAATTATTGTTGGTTAATAATCTGGGATCAACGATATCATATTGATTGACTAATTGTTAAGCACTTCACTCAAATACAATGACATCATTACACATCATACTTGTAAAGGTTGACCAGGCAGGGCTGGCAAACATACAGAGGTAGTGTGTGTATGTGTTTGCATGTATGAGGCCGCAGGGGTTAGACCACACACCACCACTGTGTGTTTTCAACTCGTATTGCTCCTCGCCCACAAGTCTCCTACAATGAGGCCGAATGTGAACCCAGGCACATGATCACCTCTTGTCCATACACGCCCTTCCTCTGTTGACAACCTCTGGTGACAAGCTGGTCCACTGTGGGTGGCTCTGCAGTACGACAGGCCCTCTTTGATCTCTCTCATGTAAGGCAAAATTGCAAATATCCCATTTCCCAGTGGAATGCCTCTGAAAGATGTCCACATTATTGTTGTTATCAAACCAAATGGACAAAATCAGAATTCTAGTCACAGTGGGTACCCTGGCTCAGAGCGAGAGCTTGATTTGGCTTTCTAATTTGGAAAACGCTCCTCTAGCTTTACTGTGGTACAGCCCCCACGACATACAGTCTGGCATCTCCGAGACACCACATGCTGGAGGAACATAAATGATCACACCGACAGATTTATGTGTATTTGATATGGAGTGGACATCATGAACTAGACCACACTATCTCATCACTTGTTAAATTAGTTGAAAGATAAACTCCATTCACACAAATGTTAATGTGACTCATTAACACTAGAGTGAATTTCTGATGTCTTTAAAAGTTGAGTTCTTTTATCTTGATCAGCTTGTTTGGGCATTTCCTGCCTTCAAAAACTAGGTTGAGATGTACCCTGTTCAAACACTTTGCCACATTCAGATTAAAGAGAAAAAAAAAGCGCCTTCAAAAAGTTTTACACAAGTCAAGGCTTGATTTAGCACCCCGCAAACAAACAACCAGCGAGTCCCCGCCGCTTCAAACAGCTGTTCTGAGTTGGGAGAGAGGCGAAGCGCGACAAAGAGGTGAGATTAATGAGAAAAAAAGCGAGCTGACTGAACAAAAGAGTCTTCCCGGTTCAGTACAGATGGAGAAGGGAGGCTCGGTCGCAAACCACAGTTTACTTACAGTGCCGAAGTTCCAGTCCTCTTTGAAGAAAGTCTTCTTTTTGAGACTCATTGTTCCCTAGTAGCTACACCAGCAGCACACAGACAGAGTATGCTGTGTGTGGTGTGTGCAAATGCATACCCTGAACATTTCCCCACCCAAAAACTCTGCAAACCATTGTCTGTACAAGGTCGAGAGATGGGAAAAAGAGGAGGAGGAAAAAACAGAAATTGGACAAGGGCACTGGACAAAAAGAAGAAAGAGAGGGGAGAAGGAGGAGGAGGAGGGGTGCAAGGAGGAAAAGAAAGATTTCCTAACTCTTGCAGACTGTTGCCTTTGCAGAACCCAAACGCGGAGTAATACATACAGCCTGTTGGCCACAGGGCATGAAGGAATCAGATGAATCAAACCGCCCCCCTCCATTTTTCTCCCTCCAAAAAACCACAACTCGAGCTATGTCCAAAACCACCACTGGCCTTCCCCCTCTTTAACTGTTCCAGTCGGGGCACTCTCTCTTACTTGAAGAGAGAAAAAATACTCAGTCATCGTTAAAATTTGAAAACCAAGATGAATTTTTGCTCAATCAAAATAAAAGTTGGTTAGGCCCACGGCTGAACTCTTGAGCTATCATTATCCCGTGTCACAGAGGCCACCATTCTTACACCCCAAACAGTTAATTGTGTCAATTGGTGTTTTTCTGCTTGCAATTTAGCTCATTGTACAGAAAAAGAAAAGTTGTTTTTTCTGGCATCCTCCTGTCCTCGCTGCAGTACTGTTGCTCCGACAGTATTCTGCAAATCTTCTACAATCACATTGCCCAACGTTGTTTGCGAGACCAACTAATTTCTTGAAAGGCATGGTGTTCATTCTTTAGCGTTTTCCCGTGCAAATAGCTAGCCAGTCTCTTTGCGAACTTATTGCCGTGAAATAATGATCATGAGATACAGTGTTTATAAGCAGGCCGCTTGTGTCATGGTAGATTTCTCCTGGTTTAATTACGATGTACGATGGCATCACTTTGGAAATTGATTTTGTCAATTGGCAGTCTGTGTTTCTGGTTTGTGAGGGGTATCACAGATGACATTTTTAATTCCCTCAGAGAAGTTTGGTTCATGTATTGTAAACACGATATAAAGGAAATGCACACCGGACGGACAGACTGATGAGAAATTTGTGCTCAGTGGCTTCAAATGCACTAGGTGTCAGTGTGCTATTGGCCACTGAAATGTATGTGAGTTGCCCACGTTTGGACAGTCTTCCTAAAGGCTTTCATATGTTGCACTTGATGTACACACAGAAATCACAAGTACAATAGCTGTTTTTAAAAAAAAAAGTGAAAACAAGAGTTCGAGAAAACACTCAAACCCTGCTTTACTTTCACAACCTCCACACACCTGGCCAATCACTGTATGAAGTGAGTGTCATTGCTCAAAATGTGTGGATTTTGACGAAAGTTGGACACAGCCTCCCCAATTCCACCATTAGAACAAGGGGTTCAAGGTCTCTTAATGGATGTTTCAGACTGATAACTCTGGTAAAAAAAAAAAATTCAAAAGGCTGGTTGGTGGGGCGCGTGTGCTGTAAGATACTGGCGAGGCAATGAATATGATCCAGGGGTCGCA